CACAGTAGAGTACTGGTTCGTGGGGTATGATAGGGTAGAAACAGATTTTTTAGTTAATGGTTTTCAATATGGTTTCCACATTGGTTACACGGGGAAAGTAAAAATACTCTTTCAAAAAATCTAAAATCAGCACTGGACTTACCAGAAGTTATTAGCAAAAAGTTAGAAAAGGAGATAAATTTGGGTAGAATTATAGATCCTTTCAAAGGAAAACCACTGCCAATTTTGAATTGTTCCCCTTTAGGTCTAGTTAGCAAGAAAACAGAGGGTTATTACCGTATGATCCATCATTTGTCATATCCGGAAGGTAAGTCTGTCAATGATGGTATACCCGAGGAAGAGTCATTTGTTCAATACTCTTCTGTAGAGGATGCTATTCAAAACCTTAAGCAGTGTGGGAAAGGGTTATATTGTTGCAAAATAGATATTTCTAATGCATTTTGAATTATCAATTTGCATGCATCTCAGTTTGAATACTTTGGTTTCACTTGGCAAGGTCATTGGTATTTTGACACATGTCTTTAGATGGGTTGCAGTTCTTCCTGTCGTATATTTGGATGGTTTAGTACAGCACTTCAGTGGATAGCACAAGAAAAATTAGGTTTTAAGTTTATGACTCATGTATTACATGATTTTCTAATTGTTGACAAATCTGCGACAGAGTGTCACAAAAATCTTGTGGCATTTTTAGCAGTTTGCACCGACATAGGTGAACCTATGGCTAAGGATAAGACATTTGGTCCTAACAAGGTAATGACTTTTCTGGGATATGAATTAGACACCGAGATGATGGAGGCAAGGTTACCTATTGATAAAGTTAAAAAATGTAGAGATACAATTGAACAGCTTTTACCAAGCAGAAAGATTACTTTGAAGGATATGCAGTCAGAGATTGGTCTTCTTAATTTTGTGTGTAATATGGTTTTGCCAGGTAGAGCATTTTTAAGGCGACTTATCAATACTACTATTGGCATTACAAAAGCATATTATCGCATTAGACTTAATAAAGAGGTAAAAACGGATTTACGTACTTGGTTAGCCTTCTTGGAGAAATTAATGGTAGGTCAGTTTTTCTTACCGGATAGGTGGGTTGATTCCAATGAATTAAAACTGTATACAGACGAATTCAGGATCTACAGGATATGGGGCTGTGTTAGTTGGGCACTGGTTCTATGGGACTTGAAATGATAATTGGAAAAAATGTAATATTACTCTCTTGGAATTTTACCCAATAGTGTTAGCTCTTAAAGTTTGGAGTCATATTTTTAAAAACAAATGCATTTATTTTTACACAGACAATTATGCCCTGGTGCATATCATTAACAAGCTCGTCTGAGGATAAAAGTATAATGTATTTGGTTAGAGAGTTAATGCTACTTTGTTTGCAGTCTAACATTTTGTTCAAAGCTAGGCATTTAGTACCAAGGAAAATATTCTATGTGATTGCTTGTCTCGTTTGAAGGTGCAGCAGTTCCATCAACTTGCTCCTTGGATGGACAAAGAACCAACGGTGATTCCCAATCTGCCAACATTACCTCCTTAGAACCAGTCTTGAGGAACCTGTTGACTTCAACATTGGCACCACTTCCACTCAAGCATATAAACGGGCATGGTCTATTTATAGAAATTTTGCAAACAAATTTGTTTTGAGTAATGATCTTCCATTGTCTCAGGAAACTTTGGCTTTGTTTATCTCTTATTTATTTGCTGAGGGTTATGCAGCCTCCTCTATTGTGTCATTTATTTCATAAATAGCATATATACATAAAATTAATAATTTGCCTGACAATGCATCATGCTTTCTCATTCAGAAACTATTAAGTTCCTGCCGCAAAACAAGACCTTTCATGGATATTCGTTTACCAATAACCATGGAAGTTCTGCATAAAATTTGTGATGCGTTAGAAAATACAGTATCGAACATTTATAAAAGGGCGTTATTTCAAACATGTTTTTATTGGCTTTTCACGGCTTCCTCAGAATAGGAGAGATAACAGTTTGCAATGCTAATAAAGAACACTACATTAAGATGAGAGGGAGGACCGATGGGCCCCTTTTTTGCTACCCCCCAAACATTGCAGTCACAAGGCAAGAATTTTCAAACATATCAAAGCAAAGCCTCATGTTTTGTAATTTGGATGTCAATAGATTCAAAGGACATTCCTTTCGAATTGGAATGGCCTCTTACTGAGCATCACAAGGGATGAGCGATAGTCAGATTAGATTCCCGGGTAGATGGAAATCGGATGCATTTAAATATTACATAAGATACTTGACACCATGTTGATATGTGCTTCAGTGGAAGTGGATCCTTGGAACATTATGTTTTGTTATTTGTTTAGGATCTTGACTTTGAAGTGATTTTCAGGATTATTAACTTATGGGGGCATATGTTTATCCCTCATCCAGAACAATAGTGCCTAAGTCATTTGTTAATACTTAGGCTGTTAGGTGTCAGGATTGCGTGCATATAAACTTTTAAAACAGTGAGGAAGCTTACAGTGTGAAATATTTTTCAATATGGGGGCATATGTCTATCCCTCATCTAAAAGATTGCTCGAGGTAGTCCTTTCGTGAAGACCACAAACATGTGAAATTTGTAAAAAACAGTGAGTAAGGTGATGCTTTGCGATATATAAGGGCATATTTTTATCCCTTATCGAACATTCCACGGAGTCATTCGTTAATACTTAGGACCCACAGACAGCATACACTTGGAATAGTAACCTCATTTCGTTGTGATGGGGGTATATATTTATCCCTCATAAGACAATTGTGAATTCAAATTTTTTATCATAATTGAATTGTAAAAGATTATTAGAAACAGTATCTTGTCATATATATTTCATGAGAAAGTTGTTTTGTTGCATTACGGGAAATATGTTTATTCCCATTTTCGAAATGTACAGAACAGTTATGTACATTTTACTCAATTTTGGTATGATTTATGTTTGAGGTGTTTTGCCATTTATTTTTCCTTTATGGGTCTGAACTTTCCCTAGTTCGGTCAAGTCAGTGGCGTTTTCAGACCCATTTTCATGATTTTTCTGTTAAATCTAAGTTGTAATTACTGTAAATTTGGATTATCTCCCTTTACAAAATTGGTTTATTTCTCATCTTGATACCTTGTGTCTGCTAAAAATTATAAGTCATTGTTAATAATACTTTTGAGAATTTCTAACAAATTATTAAACGTCATAAAGGTAGCAACACACGACAAACTGTTTTACAGACTTTTTACTCATTGAAGGAGGATAAGATAAGGTGTTCTAGCGTTGAAAGGATTATAGAAAGAAATTAGCCAGTTGATGGGTAACCGGGGTATCAAAATACTTATTGCATTAAGATAAATAAATCTAAGTTTACTTAAAATTTTTTATTGTAATCAATAAGTGTCCGCCTTGAATGTGAAAGTCTGAAATATTGTATAGCTGTGCTTTGTAATGGTAATTTTGTTTCATGTCTTAACGAGGTAGGAGAGGCAGAGATTGACCAATCAAAATCTAAGAATTGAAATTCTAACTTCGAGGTGCGTTACTCTGCCTTTTTTCCCATCTACATCCTTGGAGGACGGATGTTTTTTTTTCAAAGTTTGTTATCTACCGCCTTCAACTCCGCCTCCGCTTTTGGTGTTTGTTGTTTAAATTTATGTTTTAACGTTTTCAGACCAATTTTCATTTTTTTCTGTTAAATCTAAATTGTAATTACTATAAATTTGGATTATCTTCCTTTACAAAATTGGTATTTCTCATCTTGATATCTTGTGTCTGCTAAAAAATTATATGTCATTGTTAATAATGCTTTTGAGAATTTCAAACAAATTATTAAACGTCACAAAGGTGGCAACACAAAATACTTATTGAATTAACATAAATTCTATCATATAATAAAAACAGAAACCTTAATAATAAATACTTAGCATAAATGGTAGTCGGAAACTACTTACAAGAGAAATATGGGCCAAATCGCTCACCTGAGCAATGTGGCTAGGAAAAAAGCAGAAATCAGTCATAATTTGATCAAACTTGAAACTCGAGGATACTTCCATATAAGTATCAGTCATGCCTTTTCTATTCTTGAGAAGATTTTTAAAGAATTTTTCTACATTTTTCTATTTTTTTATAATTTGATTTGCCATTGTGAACCCGCCCTACCCCTGGGGGTCATGATTGGAACAAACCCGAATCTACACCAAGATGCAAGATGCTTCAATATAATTATGATCATTCACGCGTTTGCTTTTCTTGAAAAAAAGATTTTTAAAGAATTTTCCAATATATTTCTATGTAAAACTTTGATCCACCATTGAATCCCGGCCATACCTCTAGGGGTCATAATTTGAACAAACCTGAATCTACACTACCTGAGGACGCTTCCATATTAATATGATCATTCACGCCTTTGCCATTCTTTAGAGAAAGATTTTAAATAATTTTTCTATATATTTCTATGTATAAGTTTGATAAGCCATTGAAGCCCGGCCCTACCGCAGGGTACATTAATTAAACAAAATTGAATCTCCACTACCTGAAGATCCTTCAATAAAGATATGATTATTCATGCCTGTGCTATTCTTGAGAAGAAAACCTCTATGTAAAACTTTGATTGGTCATTGTGGCCCTGCCCTAGCACCAGAGGGTCATGATTTGAACAAACCTGAATCTACACTACCCGAGGATGCTTCCCTGTTTCATATTTCCTGGCCCATTGCGCGTTGTTCTTGAGAAGATTTAAAAAAAATGAAATTAATCTTTCACTAATTCATAATTATCTCCCCTTGAATCAGGGCGAAGCCCTTTATTTGACTCAAATCCCCTTCACCTAAGGATACTTTGTGCCAAATTTGGTTGAAATCGACCCAATGGTTCTTGAGAAGAAATCGAAAATGTAAAAAGATAACGACAACAACAACGACGACAATGACGACAAACAACGGGCAAATCTAGATCAGAAAAGCTCACTTGAGCCTTCGGCTCAGGTGAACTAAAACTAAGACTCACTGATAAGAAAGTGTCTTTCATCATTTTTCAAAAGTGGTTTCCTATTCTCTGTTTGCGCCTGCAATCAAACACAATCATGAGTAAGATGTTTAATAAAAAAAAATCTCTGCAATAAATATAAAGAATTGTATAATGGACCGATTTATCTCAAATCTGAGTTTTTTAACCCGTTTCACTGTTAAGTTTAAAAGATAGTCTGAGAGTCCCTTGATACTAATAGAAATTATCTGATATTTTTAAAGCTTTTTAAAAGGATTTTGACATTTGACGTCAGAAACGGCGCCATTATAAAAAGTGATAATTCGCCGCCAGTGTAATGGGGAGTAATTATCCCGTAAAAATTGTCCTGAGGTCATTTTCTACCTAAAAATGTGACCCATGTTAAAATATTCCTCGTAGAAAAAATAACTTTATCTTGTAGAAATTATTGCCTGGGGTAATTCTCCGTGTGGACTGTTGAAAAAATGACTGCGAAGAATAGTGACTCTGTGTCCTATTTTGATACAAAAACTGCTTTTTGAATGATTTATATTGTAAGGCATCTTAAAAAAGCAGAGGTACACTGCTACATTCTATTTTTTATTGTCGGCTACATTTGTTATTAATACAAAATACCGTAGAATGAAATTAGATGGATTTACCTTTAAAAAGCCGTATAATTTTTATCGGGCAACGAATACAACAACAATCTTGAAGTAAAGTTAATAATATAAGATTTTTTTTTCTTCTAGAGTACCATTTTCAAAGAAAAAAAAATGTAATAAATAAAGTTAATTAAAAATATGAAACGATGTAAAGAAAAAATGTTTGAAATTTTTCCAAATATTTATGAAATGCGTCAAAGTCAATTATAAGGTATTTCAAAAAGTATATTCAAAGTCAATGCCAAAAATCATGCAAAAAAAATTATAACCGTTGATTAGACACAATTTTAAAATAGATCGGAATGAAAATTTTAAGATCATTGATAATGTTCGCCCTCGCTCTAGTTACAAATTGATTAAATAATCACATGTTGTGTTCTGTTGGCTCTTTAGTGATCATTTTCATGGAAACTTTATTATTTATATGTTAAGCAAAATATCTAACATTCAAAGGGAAACCTTTTATAATTTATCGAATTATCTCTTAATGCTAAACAAAATAATCCTATTTGTTCATATTCATACTTCACCATGAGATTGCTTTAGTGTTGACTTCTTAACAATAAGTTTTGCAAAGGGAAGTTCTACAATGATCAAACTCTTTTCATCAAAGTTTCTTCTACTTTTTCTGTTGCGTTGAATTTTCTATAACATTTTTCTTCTGTTTGTGTTGAACTGTTAGTATATGCTATAACACTACAAAGGCCAATTGTCACTTTGACACACAGTGCATTCCTGCCCCAACTAGCGCTCTTGGAAGTTTTGACAGCACAACAAAATTACACATGTGCAAGTCCAAATCTTCTACAAACAGGAGTTTTGTTAAGTAGAAAAAAAAAATAGACGGTGATAAAAATTAGCAATTTTTAAATTTTGCCCGATCAACATACAGTGCTTTTACTTTCAAATTAACAACGAATCTCAGAAGGTTCATTCGATAATCAAATCCAATACACTGTATACAAAATTTTAAAACACGAATTGAAATTTTTCATTGTTAAAAGAGTGAAATATACTGAAAAGCAAAGGAAACCAACACCCTACTTAAGGGGGAAATATTAATAATTATATAAAGTAAAGAATTTTGTCATTTAAAATTATCGATACCTTCTGTTCGGTAAATATCGGTTATTTAACGTTTGTAAAATGTTCATACCATAACAGGAAGTCAATTTTGAGTTTGCATAATAGAAATCAAAAGCTGCATGTTTAAAAAAACATTTGGCAATATTATGGAGTTTTCAGGGTTTGATCTACTCATCTTAAATAGTGCAGCAATATTTCAAAAGATTAATCTTTTTTCGTTTCCATGAACGATGCTAAGGCTTCTTGAAAACGGCTTAAGTACGCATTCCCATTGCTCTAGCTGGAAAATCTCAAAGTACAGGTGAATGAGAGTTGTTCATCAAAAAATACACTACAATACGCCTCTTCAGGATCTTACGTATCATATGCATAAATGATAGTCATTGGACTAGAATTCCAAGGGTTACTACAATGTTCTAAGTTAGATAAAAATTTGACCTAATCATCTGAAAAACAAGCATTTAAAACTTGCAAAGAATAATTCCTTCAATTGTTGTTTAGGACAGTATTTTGCACGTTGTAATTGAATGGCTTGGAGGGGAGGGGGGAGGGGGGGGGGGTAACAGTCGTATGTTACTAAGTAAAGTTACAAGATAAACATTTTACACCTTTTAACAATTCTCTAATGTTCTGAAAAGTGAGTTTAGCTTTTCTGTACTCTTTTTTGAAAAATCATTAGATAAAAAATTCAAACATTTGTAGATTACTGCTTGTTGCATTTCTTTTGCTTTTCAGTAAAAAGGCGATTCAAGACTTAAAGTTGCTCTGACAGAATTGGTGATATCAGGACGTCTGTCCGTTTGCTTTAAAACATGTCGTTTCTACAATAAAAAATCGAGAGTGTTGCTACTCATGAAATGACACTCAAATTCACTGAATCGTTACAAAACTTTACATAATAACTTAATTCTTCACCTTTGAAAAATCACTTTTATTCGTGACTACTTCATTTTGGTGTTATAACACGAGACTTCCTGCTGGGGAAAATGTTATTCTCGTGTACAAATGTATATTTCCTTTACTAAATATGATTTAAAACAATAACCAAAGTTCTCAAAAATTATGTCTTGCTTATAAATACCAAATTCCCCTCTTGCAAAAAAACAAAGTATAATAAATTTTTGGTGATAATCTGCATTAGCGAACCTGTGTCTTTGTATAGAAAGCATGCTCATAATCACCCTAAGCTTGAAAGAAAAAAGTAAAATAATTTTTTGAAAGTTTGATGAGAAATCTTGAAAATAAACATGTAAGTTTTAGGGATTTCATAAAACAAAGTAAGGTTTGATGGGTATATGTATTTTCTTTGGATATTGTCTATCAATTATTTTTGCAGTTTTTTAAATCTACCTCTCTGGTGATACCCTCTACCGTCGAATTTCTCCTCTCTCTTGAAAAGCACCATAATCTCAGACCTTGGTCTTTATTCTGAAATGATGTGATAATATTTTTAATTTATAATTTTTGTTATTTGAAATAAAAACTTAACCAAAACATTCTTATGAGCTCAAATATAAATCTCTTTTTTTAGAGTAAACCCAAGGTATTTAAACTTACCCAATGTTTGACCATTTTACTCCAATGTATATAGTGTGTTTCAGTGTGGTAATCACATTCGCGTCCTTCCTCAAGCTTTGACATGGCCACTGCATCCTTCTCTAGAATAAATTGTCCTTCACATTCCTGCGTTATCTTGTCACTCTCCAAACAACTGAATCCTACTTCATAATTCACGGCTCTGTGAAATGTTCTTACAACGGAACTTATGATTTTTTCGACAGTATTTCGAACTTTGTAAGTATCAGCGGTACGCAGCAATCTTGAAGTACTACTGCTGTATACCAATAACTGAATCGCTGTTTTATTTACGCCGATTACAATGACATTTCCCCTTTGTATGTGTTCTAGCAAAACAACGTTTTTGAACAACTGAATTTTGCGATCTATTTCCAAGTATTTCCATTTGTGCATACAAGCAACGACAACTCTTTGGAAAAAGAAATGATGCAGGCAATGCTTGAATCGGAAATGTAAGACTGATGTCTTGTGCTGTTTTGCAGATATCCCCTCAAGTTGTGAAATATTGATATCCATTTTGTTCACACATGGTATGTAATGAAAGATTTTTCCAATGGCTAAAAGACCAAGACGTTCCATGTATTTTAAAATAGAGTCACTATTTTCGAGGAGATCTTCATCTTCATGAGATTCCCAGAACTTTTTCAGAGTTTCACATGGTAGCTTTCCTGATTGATAGAACTCTTCCATATCTTCTGCAGTTTGGAAACAGTCCATGAGAATTGGGATTTTTTTGTCTGAGGAATTTGTGGGTAGTGCTACGTCTGCTTGATTTTTATCCCTAGTTAACGATTTGAATGCATCAATAAACCATTGGACATCTAGAATGGCAACATCGTTTAAGGGCGTTTCATTGAAAAAAAGAATATACCCAATTTCATGAAAGAATTGTAGCATGTCACGAATTTTTTTTATATCTTTTGATACTTCTACACCAATTCTGACCTTTAACTGAAACCAACGATGTCGAACTTTATCAGGAAATCTATCAATATTTTCAGAAAGTTCTAAATTGTATCTTTCTTTCAATTGCGACACACGCATGACTTTTTCTCTGTTTTGTTCTAATTCTCCTTCAACAGTTAACCAAAAGGATGGGACAAATTCCCCCCAGTGAGAGTATGAGTTTTCTTCCTTCTTTGACGTTAAGAGGTCAATTAGACGATCCTGAATTTCTAATATCTTATCATTGTCCTTGGGAGCCGCTTCAATCTCAAAATACCTCTCTATAGACAAATGTTTCTTCAGATTTTGTTTTTTAGGTAAAGAATGTAGAATGTCCTCGTAAAAGCTCTTGTCCAATTTCTAAATCAACATTTAAAGCAAAGTTGAGAATCTAATTATTAAACATATTTTAATATAAATATGTAATTTTTTCTTTAAATCACTTAAAATTGGAAAGAACAAATATTTCAGATGCAAGTAGATACCGATATGTAATTTGAATTTTTTTTTCACTTTTGAATAAAGAAACTAAGTATGTTATTTTGGTGTAATATAAACTTCATAATTTTTTTTAGCATTTTTCTTTTATAATATAATAATACACAATTATCAACCCTTCAATATTCAAAATATCCTGCCCTTTGAGCCTAGTCGATTTGATGAAAACTGACTCTAGATAAGTATTGCATTCAAGCTTGTCTATATGCAAATATCTATATATTCTAGAATGTTATTTTTAACCTCCTTGTAGCTTTATTCTTTTATTTTGTGCCGTTTCAAGCCTATTATTTCAAAGTGCAATAGCATATATTTCTGTTGATATTACTAGAGTAAACCACAATATTTACACCAATTTTTCTCAATGCATGCGAAATGTTTTGCCTTTAAAAAATCAATTAGATTAATGTACGAGTCCTGAATTGATTACATGTTTCTTTTAAATAGGCAAACCAAAAAAAAAAAAAATTAAAATTCGCTTTCTGACGGTTTGTAAAAAACAAGTGTAGAATATTAAATATTCGACAGGTTTTGAATCCACATCAAACAACAAGTCACAAGACACTTTTAATTTACCTGAAGTTTGTCTTTGTGTGTTGCCACCAGAACTACTGGCATGTCTTCCCCGCAGTATGTCCGAATGCTCTGAAGCCAAAAACTAATATAATCTGTAAAAATCATTATTAAATTTTTTATAAAGAGCTTTGTCAGATACATTATATAGGAAAAAAGAAGATTTTCCGTGTTTGTTCCCAATGAAATATCTCTTTTCAGTTATTCCGTAATTAAAAAGTCTTCAAATCCTTTTGGTTACATTCAAGAAATTAATCAAATATTAGGGTTTAATTCTTTTCTACGCGATTGTAAGTTTTGGTTCAGTAGTTTCACTCCCCTCTTTAAGATACATGCATTTAATAGAAATTGTAAATTTTAAGATTACATATATTCAAGGCACTTTGTTTTACCCTTATTCCACTAGGATTATTTATTGAAAAAAGGACTTGCGACGATAACCTGTTGGTGGTGTTAAAGATATGGAAATAATACAAATTGTTAACATGGATTTTTATATACATAAGAGATGAGATCAGGTTTTGTACATAGCTTCTCTCTTGTGTATTTTTTGGACATATTTTCATTATTCTTTAGACTAAACTGTAAATTATTAGGCATCAATAACATATTTCGTACCTCCGTATTTCCAGTCTGCAAAAATTGTTCCATCAGCGTCACAAACATGTTGTCCAACCTTTTCCTCCATAGATTTTGACATGTCTGTGACTAATAAATAAATTGCTCTCTTGGTCAAATAAACTTGATGACATGCGTAATATGCACTTTGTCCGGCAAAGTCCATCACAGTTAGCATTTTGTCTTTGCTACTCGAAGATGACAAAGAAGTTGCATCTCCTGTGAAAATAATACAAACAGGTACAAAGTGCACGTATAATTAATAAAACGTATTTGTAATAATGTTATTTTTTTATTGTTATACTTCTATTAAATTTATGTAGTAATAAATAGTGAAAAAAAAAATTTAGGCAACAAAGCATATTTCATATCATTGCAAATTATACATACGATATAAATTTCTATTAGTTTGCAAGTGACTTGTGAATGCATTTTGAAATGTAAAGTACGCCAATAGGAAAATACAAAACCCTTTTATACAACTAAAAATACACTTGCTTTTCATAAGTATGACTTTCTGTTTAATCAAGGGTGCAGTCTCTGAGTCTCTGACTCATTCAATCGACCTATAAATTAAAGCCCAATGAAGCTGGAGATTGAATCTATAGCAAAATCTTTAAAGAGAAAGAAAAGGGAAAATATTAAAACATATTGAAAAAAAAACTTCATAGTTTGATGAGTCGATGACCGGGTCCAATTTTTTTGAGAGGAGATGATACAATCAGTAAAAAATGATTGTATTACCCACTAGGATCTCTGTATTAGTTGTATGCCCCCCTCCCAACCCTGAAATATCCTCTTTGAAAACGGAAACCATTTAATACTTATGTATAAATGGTATTTTCCAATTTTGTTTCAATGATTTTAGCGCTAAAATGTGTGAGCTACATGTACCTGCTCAATGTAAAGCATATTTTAAATCGACAAAGCTGAAGTGATATCCGACAAAATCCCCGAAAGATTTCTTTGTCAACGGACATTTCAGAATATTCTATTTAACAATCTACATTAAATTTAGTCATTTTTTATGACTACAAAATGTTTCGATTAGGAAGAGTTGACGAATATATGAGCATATCGGTTGTTCAGTTCAAATAATTTGAATTATGAAAAAAAAATGAAAAAGTCCTGATACTGTTTGAAAGGAAGGATTAGATTGTTAGTATAACGTGCAGTGCGAGATTGTTTCCGGAATTCTCGGATACGATCGTGCAGAGTTTTCAATTAATCAGTGTTTACAGCATGCTACATCTACTTTTGTCTTTTGTTATTGTCGGTATGCGACCAAGACGAAGATTGTAAGTGTATTAAATCAAGTTTTTACGGTTAACCATATACCGGTACCTATTCATAGTTTAATTTAGAGAGAGAAATAAATTGTAGGTTATACCATTTAGAACATAACAAGTAAGAAAAAGTATACGACCACAAATATATATAATTATGTAAACATGTTTTTTTACCCATTAATATTAGTTTCCCGCCTTCGACTAGAAACACATTTCTGTGAACATCAAGACCAACAGTTGTGGTAGTTCTAGGCATCTCATCTTTGTCTGGATGTTTCAGTCTTTCAACCAAAGTTGTTTTACCTGCTCCTGCACACCCAACAACTATAACTCTAGCTCGATGAATTCGTGATTTTCCTTTCTTCAGTTCTTCAATAAATCGTTGTTTTCTTTCATCGTTCCACCCAATTACTTCTTCTGGAATTCTTACTAAAACATTAGAAGATACAAGGCTAAAAATAATTTTTCAAGAATTATTGTAGGTTATAGAAAGCTTTTATTTCTAAGATACGTATATTACAGTTGTGTATAATTACATGCACGTACACAAATATTCTCTTACGGAACAATAATTTGATACGCGTTGAAACACCTCTTTTAATTGGATACATGTACAACAAGTAACCTACATCAGTAATCTTTGTTGCCTTCGTCACAATTTGTTTTACGCCTAAAACGTTTCAATCCGCTTGACGTTACATTGTTCACTTAAATTTTAGACAATTTGGCGGTATTTTTTGCTTGCAATTATATTTTTAATTACATCATTTTTATAAAGAATGAGTTCAAAAACTTCCGGAGTTCTCTCTATATAATCGCACTGAGAACGAATTATTCATTGTAATTCATTTAGCATGAAATGATCCGATCATGTTTTACAATAGAATTAAGGTAGCTATTAAATGCATAACATAACTACTTATGTATCTGAGCAATGTGTTGAAACACATAGCTGTATGGATACAGCTGGTTCGTATCATAACGACCAACTGATGTTTAAATGATCGACGTCATTTCACCGAGACGTCGAATTGGTTTATTTAACACATTTTTAATTTCAGCATTAAGTTTTCAAGAAATGCATACAAAATTATGAGCGAAAAAATATAGTAGACAAATGTATGTTATAAACAAGTCACAAATAAAAATAATACAATTTATCATTGAGTCATATGCTGATTGACGATTTTTACTAATTGTCAGTCCATTATTTATACACTGAATTGACAACCAGCTCTCCCTTTATTTCCCGATCATGACAAGGAGCACACGGCGATTGTGACCAGTCGGCTGTTGATGCTAACTCCTCCATGGCACGTGCTCCCATCCCTGTTTTGGAGGTCTGTATTTGCGTTGTCCTTATTATATTGTTTTATGGACTTTTGATCTTGAATACTGTTCATTATCTTCATATGTTTCATTATATATATATTTTTTTATCAAACTGAATTATTAGATCAATCATAGCCATATTTTCATTTTCAATTATCAAAAATTATTTCACATTCTTTGCATAGTGAATTATTTGACACTTCTGCACTCAAAATTGTTATTTTTGGTGTTAAATATTTTAAAAGCAATAAAATCAGGTAAAAGTAATGTAAAAGAACTGCGGACGATTGTATTGTTCTCCCGCCTACCTCCAGATCATTTTTTAAAAGTTAACATATTAACTTTTTTTCATATTTTTTAAAGCTAATTGTATGGATTTTCATAAAACATTACTTATTTGAAAAAACAAAGAGAGAAAACTCTAAAACTTTGGTAAAACTTGTGTTTTTCACTATAGAAATCAACGGGAAACGGAAAATATTTTCAAAACATCTCTCCCCCCCCCCGTGTCACAAAAATTCCCTTTTACAGGTAATATGGAATGTTGTTTCACAAATTCATACCAAAGTTTTTTGTGTGACACGGGGGGGGGGGGGAGGGGGGCATATGTTTATTGAGAAAAAAAGGATATAAATGCTTATTTTCCACTAATTGCAAAACAATATACAACTGAAACATTATATTTTATTGAAATATTTATGTTTTATTTATTTGCCTTAAACATAAGAAAAGATAAACGGAATATTTAATCATATCCAAGACTATTTCAAAATACGTTGATTCTTGAAGCTCCGATTTCAAATAAAAATATATCGTCTACACCCCTCTCTTGAAGAGCTGGAATTATAGATAATTTACTGTTTAGCGCTGGTATTAAGACGATTAATCAATTACCATTGGACTGTTCTTTGTATCAAACAAAGATTTTATGGCCAAATTGCTATTCATACGAGGGCCTTTCAAATATTACGCGGACTGTTCTATTATTTACTCTTACAGACGTCATATAGTTATGAAATTTCACAGAAATATGTATCTTAAAGGTTCCAATAAATTTTGGGCAAAATTTCTGTATTTCAAAAAAAAAATTCTACGAAAATTATAGGTATGTTGATATCGCTTATGGAGAGGTACGGAGCACGACAAAAAAATTGAAGCAAAAGCATGTGGAAAATTAAAAATATAACTTATTAATTTTCTATAATTCGCGATATTTTTCGACAATTTTCTCAAATGTATTTTTAAATTGTTCTATTATTATGTATTATGATTTCTGACATGATATTTGAAATACTAACAGAATTATAATGATTTTTTCCAATGCGATTCCCGTGAAAACGACTGTGAAAATGACATCTCCTGAATTGACGGCGCACCATACTTTTGTTAAATTATGTGTAATGCTCGAGATATTGCCAACATAGATCCAAAATATGCAAAATAAATAAAACATGTAGTAAACTAGGGTATTCCTGACATTCGTCCACAAACAACAAAATAAAATTTTAGACCGTTAGATCTCTGTAAACAGGCTATATGGGAAGACAGGAAGAAGATTCTCGACAAAATCTTTATTCGGACTGTAAAGGACGCGATTGAGACTCACCAATATCACGCTGTGTTGCAACCACTATTGAAATACGACCACTATTGAAATAATTATATCAATAGTGGTTGAGGGTGCATATCTATAGCAAACATAGTTCGTAACCACTATTGAAATACGACCACTATTGAAATAATTATATCAATAGTGGTTGAGGGTGCATATCAATAGCAGACATAGTTCATAACCACTATTGAAATGCGACCACAATTGAAATAATCATATCAATAGTGGTTGAGGGTGCATATCAATAACAACATAGTTCGGAGCCACTATTGAAAAACGACCACTATTGAAAAAATTATATAAATTGTGGTTGAGAGTGCATATCAATAATAAACATAGCTAGTAACCACTATTGAAATACGACCACTATTGAAATAATCATTTCAATAGTGGGTGAAAATGCATTTCAATATAAGAACCATAGGTTTCAGCAACTATTCAAATAATGTTCACTTTTGAAATACAAAAATCAATCTGCCACTGTCGATTGATTGTTGTTTTACGTCATTCTGCCATTTTCGACTCATATAGAGACGTCACCATATACCGGTGAAGGACTTCAAAGTTTGACCTTTACCCGGCACTCAGGGCCATTCAGCAGTGAGGGATCTTTACCGTGCCAATGCCTGCCGTGACGAGGAACCTTGCAACTATCAAAATAATTATTTAAATCACTTTAAATCATTATTTCAATAACTATCTAAATCTTCATCTAACAACTGATGATGAAAGCAAAAATATGGATGCCGGGGTTGGTGTATCTTTTTGGTCTGATTTTATTGAAAATGGTAAATTAATAATACATAGTACACCTGGTCAATATATATGCCACTTTAAAGACAAGATTGCGATACAATATAATAAATAATATAATAAATTTCTAGAGTATAAAGAAATTATCCTTATTAAGCTATAAATTTTTATTTTTTAATCTAAATTTATACATTTTTTACTCCCAATCCAATTTTTGTGAAATCTTGGTAAAAAATTCAAAATTAATGGTAAAACTTTTCTATCAATAAAACAACAGCTGACGAAACTATTGTTCTTACATGTATATTGAAATGCATTTTCACCAACTATTGATTTAATTATTTCAATAGTGGTCGTATTTCAATAGTGGTTATGAACTATGTCTGCTTTTGATATGCATACTCAACCACTACTGATATAATTATTTCAATAGTGGTCGTATTTCAATAGTGGGTACGAACTATGTTTGCTATTGATATGCACCCTCAACCACTATTGATATAATTATTTCAATAGTGGACGTTATTTCAATAGTGGTTACGAACTATGTTTGCCATTGATATGCACTCTCAACCACTATTGATATAATTATTTCAATAGTGGTCGTTATTTCAATAGTGGTTGCAACAACGCTGTATATCATAAATACCTGCAGTTTTTTTTTTTTGGTTTTAAAACAAAAAAAATATCCTTTACTTGTTTTAATAGATTTTCAGCTCAACAAGAAATAATGTTGGATGTTGAGTACTATAGTAGATAAGGGAACTCAAACTGTACAGGTACTCATGGGAAAATGTTGAGAAAATAAAAGCTCAATCACATTTTTCTTTATAATGTCTGTGACGTCGAAAATTTTGTTGCGCCGTAGCTCAATGATATGTCCTGATAAATCTCTCAAAATTTATACCAATTTACAACATTTTGATATGAAATTTTGGAGACCATATAAGTAAAGATTCTTTTATATCGTATTATGTGTGACCTTTTGCCCGATTATGTTGTCAATTTTTTTTTCTCTGCAACAAGTCCTCAAAATTTTTAAACGGCCCTCGTATTGATTTAAATGGTTCCAAAATGTAAGCGGGAATTGAGAGTTACATGTAGCGTGAGTGCTTCTTTCTGAATTTAAGCAGAATGGTTGAAATTACCTTAGTTATTCAGAAAATGAAATAAAAAGGGGGTATGTGCTGTTAATTTTTAGATATAACTAAAATAATGCATATTTTTAAGCAATTTCTTCCAAGGGCTTTCACGATATATATTTGATATCATTTCCCAAATATGTTGATAGAATTCATGACATTTAATTTAATATTTAATATCGGACCAGTCTAGAACATTTCACAGCACAAAATTACTCTTTGGGCATGTTCCAAAACAATAGGATTCCAAACTTAACAATACTGATTGCTTTAAAAGAGGAAAAATTGATTTTTTTCTTCTAAAAAACCTTTCGCCACGAAAAATAGTTCCATCACTAATTATTTTCGGTGTGGAATGTGATCATTGGTTTTTCATTGAGTACAGTTTATTTGCATTATAGATTCCAAATTTATTGTAAAAACTAAAACATTCAAAAGATTTTTTTTTAAAATAGTGGTCACCATAAAAATTTGCTGAAAAGCTCATGGGCGAACCCCATTAATTAAAAAAAATCATAGTGAATGTTGAAAATATTTTTCTGGATGAGATAAATAATATATATCAAAGAAATAAATGAAAGAAAAGACTGTGTAAAATGAATCAAGAAATAAATATTTAAAATATCTAAAACAATATTCCATTACCTATTCTCTTTTAAATGTTTGAAAAGATGTTCTTGAAAATGTAATTTAAAGACCACAAACTGAAGGTGTACCAAGCATTTCAATCTTAAATGCCTCTTTGTTCTCAAAACCGTATATTCTAAAAAAAATGTTGCGTTGAAAAAAAACACAAAAAACTTACCAATCGGCTGAATGAAATCAAAGTCATAGGAATTTTTTTTACAGGGATAATATATCTGATATAAATTTAAACCTTAACTGGGTTCCTTATGCATGCGGTATTATTTTGTTTTAAATCCATGCTCATATTTTTGAATTCCAGATGATATACAATTAATTTTGACATTTATATATCAAACAATTATAGACATGTATGCGCCTATGGTGTCTTCGATATACAACCACAGATTGAATATTAAGACCAAATATTATCATTGGTAATGAGACTTTTAGGTTTACCAGCAATGTGTTATTGATTTTATTTATTTAACCTCTACTAAGTTTTCCCTATATAAAATTAGATAGTAAAATGTAAATAATTCCACAAAAATATCTGTGAATAGACTATTCCCCGTGCGTTAGTCATATAAGCTAATACCTGCTTTGAAGGCATATTTTCAGATTATCCGAAATCCTCAAGATTTTACTTTTGTATCGGTATTAAATGTTATTGAACTTAACCCATAATTTAATCAAGTGAGTTAATCCCCGCTTTTTGAAGACTAGCTTCGGGAAATTGTCCTGGCCTTGTGAAACTGGCTAACTCCCTCACTTATATATTTCAGGTGTATGATATTGTTAATTTCTTATATTACTCACATATTTTTACAACAGCTTCGTGAATTGCAACATCTTTAAATGTTTTATGAACAATAATATCCACGTCCATCTTCTCTATGACATTCTTGTTGTATTCAGAAGGTACAATAATACATTCTTCATTGGTTTCTTTTTCATAACCAGACGTTCGGAAATATTCCAAAACTGTTTCAGACGTAGGAAGATCGCTGTAAAGTGCATAGTGAACAAAACATTCAAAGTCTGTACAAGTCCGCTGGTCAAAGGCATCTGAAAAAAAAAACTTATTTTAAAACATTATTTTCCATTGTCACTTGATATAATAAAGGTTTATTCTGTGTGAAAAAAAGAAAGGAACTAATGGAGCCACAACCATCACCCAAATCTTTTGGTCCTTTTCTGTATCAGTAGATAATTTCCTTACATGTCCCTATAGAAAAGTTTGGTCTGCTGTTATGACTCAAACCTATCACTCGGATTGGCAACAAAAAGAATCTACACTGGCAATGAATGATCTTCATCACTGTTTAACTCTTCTTGACAATTATTTCAAGATAATTTTCTAACTTTCCAATGTAAAATCTTTTATTGACTGTTGCCCACCAAAGCCTCGAGCTCTAGGGGACATTATTGCAACAAAACACTTGTATTTTATTATAATTCATCTTGCTCTTGGTTTTCTTGAGAGAATGGATTTTTTATATGTTACATTTGTATTTTTTTGTTATCTTTTTTTTTTTTTTTTTTTTTTTTGATATTATTGCCCAATCCTTTCGACAGAGGTATTTAAATAAACATATAAAATTAAATAAACACTATCAGATGATGCTTCCGTGTAAGCATAGCAAACCAAGTTTTTCCTGCTTGAGAAGTATAGTTTAAACATATTTTCTCATGCATTTCTATGCAAATAAGAGCCCTATGGGCCACAAAGATCACCTGAGTCACTATGGTCCTGTTTTTCTACAACAGTGTTTTAGGTCACCTGAGTAAACTCAGGTGACCTGTTGCTATCCGATTTCGTCCGTCGTCGTGCACCGTGTGTCGTGCATCGTCTATTAACATTTGAACATTTTCAGCTTCTTCTCTGAGACCGTTGAACCAGTTTCAACGAATTTTAACATACAGCATCTATGGGTGAAGGGGAACCAAAATTATGAATTTCATGGTCTCTGCCCCCTGGGGCTTTGGGGGTAGGGCCAAACGCAGTACAGTTAAGGCAACATTTTCTATAAAAAGTCATCGAAAACGATACAATTAATATTCAACTATTTTTTTTTTTCAGCAAGACACTCTAGTAATAAAAGTTTTATGTTATCTTGAAGAGTATGTCCATCGCTATTCACCTAGGAATTTTTGTTATCATGTGACCCTCTAAAGTCACGTGGGCTCCGATTTTAGATCAACAAATGAAATGTTAAATTTAACCATAAAGTCAAGGGCAAGGCAAACAAACAAATAACTGCACATGCAGTTTTTTAAATTGTCCCTATGTATCTATACTTTCGCAAAAGTGATGCTCATTCAGTTGGTTTTCCGATACATTTAAGTTATTCACCTGAAACAGTCAGTAGTATATGAAAAATATGGTATTTTCCTAATATCATCGGAAATTATAAATTACCTAAAGAATTACAAAGAAATGAGCATCACTTTCTGAAAACTATACAGTAAAATGAATAATTTAAAATAAAAACCTACTTATTAGATTGTCGCCTTGCCCTTGAACTTTTTGATTAAAAATTGACATCTTGGTACAGTCAGTCTAAATATAGTTTTCAAACGCATCGTTGACCCAGCATGGGAGATAACTCTTTAGTACTTGATAAAGTTTGTTTACCTCGTAGATTTTAAATAACTAGGCCTATACTTGCAGAATGCGCTGGGATCTTTTTACTTAATCGAACAGTATGCATAAAACACTGGATATTACTTTCTATTTTGTGACTTCGTTCTCTATACAATGTGTGAATTATGTATGTTATAAGACGTCTTTCAGACTTCCGCATTTCCTCGAATCTGTGTAAACACAATTGCAGCTACATGTCAATGTAGGTGTAAAGTTTGCCATAGCATGTAATCTAAAACGCCGATTGTTAATAAAAATGGGGATATTCAATTATAATAGTCAATTCACAGTCTCCATCAATAATTAATTTGATAATAATAATCCCTCTGTCACTAATGTTTATGTATACACTTGTGTACAAATATATATATATATATTTTTTGCATACAAGATTATATCATGACTTTCTTTAAGACCTTCAACTCCTATGGGATTTAAGTCATACGTTTTATGAACTAAGACTTAGTGAAAAACATACAAATTCCTGTATTTGTGAAAGGGACTACCATTTTATTCCAAAAAAAGGGGGGGGGTAAATCTAAAATTTTTGAAAATAAATATGTCCCAAACAGAATAAAAAAAATTAATCTGCCCCAGACCAGTGTTCCCCCTCCTATAATTTTTTTTTAGCTTTTCAGACATTTTCAGTAGGGAGGAATATAAATAATCTGTCCTTCATCTTGTTGGAAATAAATATAAGTAGACCTGTCCTTCACTGACATGAAAAATAAAAAAAAATAATGACTTGGGAAAACTTGCCACCCCCCCCCACACCCCCTCTTCCCTTCATAATAAAATGGTGGTCCCCTTTCTTGTTTTGAATCAATTAGGGGGGCCCTTAATCTCCTTTGTAGTTACTATTATTAATATAAGAAAAACAAAATGCACATGCTGGAAAAAGATCTTGATGGACATTGACAGCCTGCCACCACACAAATAAATGCAAGTCAAGATTATCAAATCTTAGTAGCCTTTTCAACACCTGTACAGTAAGTACATGTATATGAAAAATTCAAATAATTTTTTATGAAGAAATTTTATTTCATAAACAGCTTTTCAAATTAAGATAGACTGTACAAGGAATACCGGGCAGCTGCAAATTTTTTCCATCACTTCATGTTCTTGAGGATAAAATCAATTCTGAAAATACATGTATGAGAAAATCAGGACTTACATGTAGTACATGTAACATAACATTATTGAGAGTAAATTGGTGTTTAAAATTGAATGAAATTCAGATCAATACATGGAAACATGCATTGGATGGATAATTAAATGTTTGCAATTCTACTGTTATATTTTATTGTTTGCCAGGAATATTGCATGGTAATTGGGTTTATAGCTAATATGGAGCATACCATTTTCCTTGCATCATGGATTACCTTGCTGCCTGATCATGAATGATTCCATTGGTCTTATTCTTTAGGAATATCTGCAACACATTATATATGCTATTGGTATGAGATTGCTAAATAAAATACATTGTAAAATTAAATCACTTTACATTTGACAAAACAATTCATAATATATTGTATACTGTAGTGAATTTATGAAATTCATATATAGTTAAATGGAAACAAAGTCATAGGCGTCGGAACCGGGGGGGCTAGGGGGGGGGCTTAGCCCCCCCACTTTTTTCCCAATATAGAATTTTAGAATAGAATATTTATTCAACCAATTTGGGCCCACAGTGGAGCATACAGAACAGTGTCCAAAATCATCACAGTTATACATATACAAAACAGAACAAAACAAACATAGTATAATGAACAGAGAGTTAGTTATCTTCTTTTAGGATGTATAGAATGTACATTATAAGTGGCCTATGTATAATATCTGCAATATGCCTATATTGAACTATGTTGTTTTCTCTTATTAAAATTTGCATTTAAGAGTTGGCATAATAAAACAACAAACTCAGAATCTTCATTTGACATAATCCATGTAAACAGGTCAACATTGTTAAGCAGTATCAAATTAGGAAAGGTTTTAAAGATTTTATCTAAAAACTCTCTTCTTGAGTCATTATAAAGTGAACATTCTAGCAAAAAATGTAATTCATCCTCAGTTGGACTTGAGGTGCAGTAACGACAGATTCTCTCACACCTGGGAAGAATTTCATTTTTACCACATTTATTAATTTTCCTTTCATATCTACCCGTCTCCACCCTTAAACAATGATTACTAATTCTGAATTTTGTGAGAATTACCCGATTGTCTCGGTTTTTCATATTCAAGTATTTTTCAAAATAAAAAGACCTTTTATACTTAAAATATGTATTTAATTTACCAAAGCCTTCCAAATAATTGGTACGAATATCGTTCCAAATGTTTAAAAAACTATTACTGAGTTGTCTTTTCATGTACAGTTTAAATTTGTTTTCACTTAGTTTTTTACAAAGGGACAAATTAATATTAAGTTTTTCACTGTAGAATAATATACTGGAGTACCAATCACTGTTGATGATGTTTGATTTGCACTCACTGAGAGCTGCTTTCAGTAGGTTAGATGATGTATGTTCTAGTCTATACCAGTACATGAATATTTGCTTTAACATGTCTATATATAATGGGTACCTCCCTAGTTCAGAATAGATTCCTACATTTGTACAAGATTTAGATACACCCATAATGTATTTACAGAATTTCATATTGAGTTTTTCAACTTCCCAATCTTTAAATATATCAAAAAGAGGGATATTTTTCCTTTTTGGAGTAACATTAATAATGCTCCAGTTCTCACAGCCATATAAAGCTATAGGTTTAATACAGTGATCAAATATATGTAAAAATGTTTTTAAGGAGGGGTTAGCATTTTTCACATCCCTATAGAATTTAAAGCATGCCTTTAAACTTTTCTGATACAGTTGTTTTTTGGCTTCAATATATATATACTTAGTATAGGCATTGAACAAATCTTCATAAGTTTAGCCCCCCCCCCCCCCCCCACTTTCCATAGATTTGTCTTAGTATAGGTTAAGATTGGTAAGTGTTGGTGTTTGGAAGAAAATTTTTTGGTACTGGACTTCGAACCTTGCCCCCCCCCCCACCTCCCACGAAATAGGATTTTGGTGTTTGGGAAATGGACATTTCCTTTTTTTTTTTGCTTGTCAGCTGTTTTTGGAGGTACAAAAAATTTTCTTACACTTAGCCCCCCCCCCCCACTTTCAATTTGCTTCTGACGCCAATGAAAGTTGTATTACAAAACTCTTCTGGGAAATTAAAACCTCTGACATTAACAAGAACAAATGATTAGAATATGAAAAAAAACATTCTTTCATCTTTATCAGAATGAAAAATAAATATAGGCCTTATCATGCACACATGCATGGTTAAAAAAAATGTGAAATGCTTTATAAGTGTACATACCCTGTTGAGAAATGGATGCATTTTGTATTCATTTATACTTCAAGCCTGGATCTCTTGACTGCTACAATAAAAAAGTATTATATTTCATATGATTAAAAAAATAATTACAGAAATTAATTGACTTAAAAATTGACATGAAATCAAACTAAAAAAAAATAAATATTTTATTCCCCATTAATTTAGAAATTCTAAAAATTTAAAACCATAGATCTAAAGTGGAGGTTCTTTTGATACAAATAATATTTTTTACATTATGTAGCATGTTTGTATGCCAAAATGACAACAACATTACATGTTCAGTAAATCATTGCCGACACATTGACTGCAGCAATGAAATTTCAAATTTAATTTAGTCGAAGTTTGTATTACTGTTGAACCCCCTTATTACACATGTTAAGCTAATCGACTCTATATTTAGTACAATTACATTTTTAAATTTCTAGTTAAACAAAGTGATCAACTTCATGTGGGCTGTGGGGGGGGGGGCACACACTGCACTGCATTAGTTTTTCACTGACTGTGATAATACATCTAAATAAACACGTACACACTCGCGATAGTTTTTTTCTTCGATGTTAAAAGAAGCATATCTACATAAGGTACATGTACATGTGCATACATACCTGGGCTGAATGCACTGCAGTGATGGATCTAAGGAGCTGGTGCAGATCGTCTCACTCTTCCATTATTTTCTGTAATAATGTCCTCATATTCTCGTAATAGGGATAAACAATGCCTTGTCTCTTATCTTATCCCTATTTTCTTTGAAGAATGTCTGATTATTGCATTTAAATCCACTGCATATCTCAGCTGATGTCGCCACGTTTTTAGATGTACACAACATTCCGTGTCATCGAGTGCAAGCGCTTGGCTGAAGCCGAATGCAGCCAAACGGCACACAAGAAAGAGAATTATTTTAAAAACATGCCATTCTATATAGGAGAAAATCACTAATAATTATTTATTTAGACATGGAAATATTGCCGTTTATTACAAATTCTAGCAAATATCGGTAAATAGTTATTTTGAGCTCTATTTCCTTATAAGAATCAATCAAGGCGGAGCAACTGTCATGACGTCAAACCTCATTATGACCTCATTACCATATTTTTTCCATGGGTTGCCTTCACCGTACTGCGAAACCACTAAAATTAGTACAATCTTTAAATATCTCCTTCTTTACTCCTGGACATCAAGCAGTCAAACTGTTGGTATGATTGTAATGGGCATTGAATTCTCTACCAAAATTGTGAATTTCATGGCCCCAGGGTCAGGGGTTCTAGTGCTAGGGCTGGTCTCTATTGATTATATAGTAAAAATGCATAAATTTTTGAAAATCTTCATTTCTGCTCGTGGGTATTGAATAAACTAACTAACTACATTGTTATGATGAGCAAGAATGCCTTTTCCAAAATTGTATATTTTAAGGCCCCGGAGTCAGGGGTTCTGGTGTTAGCCGGGGTGGGGCTCTATTGATTATATAATGAAAATGAATTGATTCTTTGAAAATCTTCTGCTCTGCTCCTAGGTATCAAATAACTTAACTAAGTACATTGTTATGATGAGCAAGAATGCCTCTTTCAAAATTTTGAATTTATGGACCCAGGGGCATGGGTTCTGGTGTTAAGGCTGGGCTATATTGGTTATATTGTGAAAAGGCTTTTTTTCCTTTAAAATCTTCTTCTCTGATTCTGGGTATTAAATAAACAAACTAGATACATAATTTTGATAAGCAAGAATGTCTGAGCCAAATTAATGAATTTTTATCTCCTCTGTGTCAGGAGTTTTGCTATTTGCTTTAGGGGGTGGGGCTCTTTTGATTATACAGTGAAAATACATTAATTCTTTTCCTTTGCTCCAGGGTTAAATGCCACTGTTCTAAGTATATACATATTAATGATGAAAAAAGGTGCATCTAGCAAAACGGTTAGTTTGGTCAGGGGTATGGCGGGGGGAGGGGGATGGGGGCTACCTAGTCTAAAATTAAATTAATGCTTTGAAATCTGCTTTTTTGTATTAATCAACCATTTATGATGAAATAAAATTTATGATAAAAGTTCAAAAATTTTAAAAATAAATGGCCCAAAGGTTAGTGGTTCCTTTAGGATGGGGTACAAATTAAAAGAGGTTATAAAGTGAAAGTGCATTTTCTCTTTGTTACTCTGATCTACCTCTGGGTATTAAGTAACTAAAGTTACAATGTAGCATGCTAAGTGTATAATAATGATAAGCAATAGTGCCTCTTTCAAAATTATTAATTTCATGGCCTCTGGTTTAAACCACGAACCAAATTCAATTGTCAAAAGGTTGTTATATGATCCTTAGGTGACCTATAAGGCCCGTGGGCCTCTTGTCTTTTTAAATATATACATATTTCGATGTATTTTCATTACCATTCTACGCCCCACACTTTAAACAAGGACAGTGATTTATAAAAAAAGAGCTTCATTACTGATGTATGCTTCCACATTAATCTGTTTAATCATGAATAAACTCCTGAGGATTTTTAAAGACTTTTACCAAAAAATCTACGTTGTGACCTGAACAATCTATATTATCTGAAGAAGTTTCCACATGCATGTATGTTTAAGCTTTCTTGGTCCATTGTTTCAGTTTATAATATAAGAAAATTTGTAGAGATTTTTCTTCGTATTTTTAATGTACAGTTTTATTGTGGCCCCAGTTACCCCAGTGGTTTATGCTTTCAATAATTTACAATTATTATTATTTAAGGAAGCTTCCATGCAAATCATGAGCAAAAGATTTTTTTAAAAATATTTTTCGTATTTTGATGTAAAACAGATTCCTTTTTAAAACCACTTTCTTTAAATATAATCATAATGTAAAACTTTAATTCCGTTCTGTGGCCAAAACTCTATCCCTGGGGTCTGTATTATGTACAATATATACTGATGGAAATTAATAAGGGAACGCATATATTTAATGGTAAAATTTGCATGATTGTTAGTGGATTTGGATCAAGTATATTTCACTAAATATGTGTTTCACAAGTACAAGTTTAGTATTTGGTGTGTCTCCACTGCTTTTTGATGACTTTTTCACACCGTCGTGGAATATTCTGTATCAACTTTTGTATCTCAGCTCGAGGAATTGCGCGCCACTCTTCCTGAAGGGCCTTTAACATGGCATTAACTGCCTGGGGTGGGGTATCACGATCCCTCACCCGATGTCCAAGAATATACCAGAGGTGTTAGATGGAGTTAAGGGCTAGACTTTTGGATGGCCATCGCAACAGCCAGATGTTGTTCTGCGTCAGAAAATCCCTGCTGACATGAGACATGTGGGGTCGAGCATTGTCATGATTAAACTCAAAATGTAAGCCCACTTTACGGCGGAAAGGAAGAACAACAGTTCGCAACACTTTATCTCGAAAACGACCAACAGTCACCCTTCCATCCAGTAAAACAAGATCAGTTCTGTGGTCGTAGATTTTGCCGCCCCGAACCATCACCGAACCACCACCATAGGCATCATGTTGTTTGATGATAAACGGATGATAACGTTCACGGAGGCGTCGAAAAACGCTAAATCGACCGTCTGCAAAGTCCAAATTGAACAAAAATTTATCGCGAACATGGTATAGCGCCAAAGTTGGAATTGTCTTGCTTGATGTTTTGAAGCCCATGCTCTTCTGAAACGCCTCTGTTCAGCAGTCATCCTCACTCCAACAACAGGACGACATGACTTTAGGCCCCCTGCTTTAAGTTTGTTTCTGTTAGTATGGTCAAAAATTCTTATTTATCTTGCCGCCCTGAACTCAGAATTTAATTTTTCTGCAGGTTTGAATCTGTTACGTAGGGAATGCAGCACTGGCTCACGGTCATTACAAGCTGTTGTTTTACTTTTGGAACCACATCCTGGTCTAATCTTTACGCTCCCTGTCTGGGTGTACCGGTTCCACAGACATGAAATCCCTTTTTTTTTACTTGTTAAATTTGTCTAGAAGTTTGGCATATTGATTGACCTCCGTTAATTCATCCGATAGCCTGTCATTTTTGATTTTCAAAAATGTATGCTCTTGGCATGATTCTCAAAGTTCGGGTATAATGATTATTGTCGTCTATTGAAGTGTTAAATGGGCATACTCTTGCATAAAAATCACGGAAATCAATTTTCAATAGCAAAGTTTCTTTTTGAGTGAAAATAAGCTTTAACATTTTCAGTTTACAATAGCTATATAGAGCCTCGAACATATGAAACATACTTAACATTAAGTAACAGTAAATATACGTTCCCTTATTAATTTCCATCAGTATATTATCAAAATATATTCAGGGAAGGTCTACAAAATTTCAGTTTTTTGTGGTCCATTGGTACCTGATAAAAACATTGTTAACAAAATTCCCATTAAAATATACTCCTCGATGTAAGATTTTGAGAACGGATTGTTGCCCAACCCTACCCTTGGGTTTATGGTTTGAACAGATAAAATCTTCACTACCTAAGGAAGCTTACATCGTTTCAGTTTTTCCATGCAGTGGTTTTGAGATGTTTTTTAGTTCTACATTTTACTTCTGCTTTATTATCTCCCTTTAAAAGGACTTGACCCTTCATTTTAACAGTTTATAATCCCTTTTACCCATGGATGCTCTGTTCCAACATTGGACCTCTGGTTCTTGAGAAATTGAAAATATGAAAAGTATAGAAAATGACGAACAGATAGACGGACAGACGTCGAACAAGAGACGAACAGAATAGCTCTTTTTAACATTCTGGATAATAAAGGATTCGATTTACCTTTTTTCTCCAAAAGATTTTCTGTAGTTTTAAAGATTTCATCATGAAAACATTTCAGGTAGATATTTGCTACAGAGCACGGCAATAAGACGTAAGATTCGTCAGCATGATGCATGTATCCTTCTAATCGGAAGTACTTTTTTGCGAGTTTCGCCAATCTTTGATCCGAAATATATTCTAAAACCTCCACTGGAGATCGGCATCTGTTTAACAAAATCCACAAGGTCTCGAGCTCTACGTCATCAGACAATTTGAAGGAACTGGGCGTTGACTTGTACGAAGAACAACTTTTTAAGTTAAGGGCGACATTCTTATATTCTTCCACTTTATGAGATTTCTCATTTAAGAATTTTTCCACATTATTTAGTGCTTCTTTTTTTCTTTTGTTATTCCATGAAAAAGAAGAATCCTCGTTGAGTAAAGCTGCACACTTTAAGATAAAAACAAGTCCAGAATTTCCGTTTTCATCGTGAGGATTCCCTGAAGCAGTTAAGCAACGTAGATTTTATTTGTCATAAAACTCGCAAAAATCACAGCAATATTTATCTGTCATTAAAATAAGCATATGGCCTTCTTATTAACTTACTTTGAATAGAAGACGATGGGTCGCTTGGTGACTCTGTTACGAGTACCACACAAGGTTTCTCATGATCGGAATGAGAATCCCAAATAGAAAAGGAATTTGAAGATTGGATTTCTTCGGAGATTGTATCGCCACTGTTGATGAAATGTACTCCAATAAGCTTTAGTTTCTGGAATTCTATTCAAGGAAATATGAGACAATTATTACATAAGTACAAATATAATACAAATATTACTTTGTCCTCAGTTAACACCACATTTACGAGGTGTGATCAAACAGGTCGCGAACTAATTGAATTGGTTCCATAAAACCCTATGTTAATGCACATCTACCATCCTTCTGCCAGTGTGATTCATGTGATCAAGGCGATCATTTGACATGCTTCGTAGCATTCTGTTCACATTATTTAAAGATTTTGCAGAGTCTTTTATTTCTAACCATGAGTTATTTTTTCACAAGAACAGTCTATTTGTCAGAAATTTCCGCAAACCAATGTATAAGGATATTCTTTCCTAGAATGAGCATTGTGACTATAAACAGCCGAGTTCTCTGTCTTGGGAGCGTCGTTTATCCACTGTGGATAAAACATTGGCACCTTTTTTTAATATCATATCTGATATGTTTGAAGTCTAAAGAAAACTATATTTTAGGGATTCAATAATTACAGTGTATATTATTATAAAGATATTCAATTATTTTTCTAACTGTAATTTGGCGATTTTTCATAAAATAAAAAGATCAACTAAGAACAGATCTCCTTTCCAACTTGCTGTTACGGGGTAGCAGAACAAACATCATTTTAACCACCTCCTTTCCTTCACAAGACTGAACTTCTCGAAAGTCTTTCATAATATGACTTCATTAACCTTGTACAAATCATTATATGTTACTGCAATGCAAGCTTCAGAATATACAAAAAATTTACAGCCGTTCATTGCACGAGTCAAACATTTTTGTCATAATTTATTCATGTCACATTGTGACACAGAAAACATGATGCAAAACATCACTTAACATATGCTATTTACAGAACATGTGTGCGACTATATTGATAAATTATTTCATTGTGATATGAACTGTAGATTTGTAAATATAGAGATATGTCATATGTTGTAAATTTTGAATTTACCGGGTGGCAGTAAATACAAATTTTACAGCATGACAACTGTTGACAACTGTTGTCTTGTTGTAAATTTTGTATTTACTGCCACCCGGTAAATTCAAAATCTACAACATGACAGATAGTTCACGAACATTTTGATCACCCCTCGAATCTTTGATCTGTATACTTATTTATGGGCTTATTAATATATTATACATTCATTTTTTGTATTATCATGCACTGAAGTCAATAAACGTTTATTATAAATAATGCCAACATGTAAAAACGGACAACCTATCCATTATTTAAGGTCTCTCCACGCCCACAATTTTTATGGTTCAAATACAAAAACTGCATTTATTTGTATTTTATACAGTTTAAATGTACCAATTATTGCAAAAATGTATATGTTTCCATATTTCAAGATGGAAGACAATTATATAAACAGAAGTATATATCAACATTAAAAATCGTTCGTTTTTTGTAAACAGTATTATAAAAATGAAAAACAGGCTCAAATGCATAATTTTGATGCTGAAAGTTCGAATATACTTGCTACTTACAATCACCTTTGAATTTTGAATACATGTATCGGGGAAACTATTTTACATTAGAAGTACAAAAAAAATAAAGATACCTTAAAAGGAGTTATAACTCTTGTCAACATTTTTAAAGATTGAATAATTGTATAAATAAAGAAAATATTCATCTTTTTAATTCCTTTACTTAACAATTTTTATTATCACACCTATTGAAAATGATTCTTTCAAAAGAAATTGTTTTATTGGGTGAAAATTAAAATTAATAACAGTTTTTGCCAAAACCTATGACATCATACACGTATATGGATATGGAAATAACGAACATTATTCAATCTCAACGTCCATTAAACAATATACAAAATAAGAGCAGAGCAAACACGGACCTCCTAAATGATCAGATGGGTGCCATGGAGGAGTGAGCATCCCCTGCCGACCGGTCACACCATTATTTTTAAGTATCCACATCTGATTTACACCACTTCTTGAATATATAGTTGTACAGTACCCTTGAAGTTTTTCCTTCACTACTGTCAATATTTTAGTGAGAAGTAACGAAAGAGGCTTGGTTGAACATTTACTGTAACCCGCAATGTATCTTTGTTTGTAAGGATTCTTATGAAGTTTCGGAATCCAATATATATAAGGTAGTTCAAATTCATGTTGGATCTGTGGAATATTAAAAGTATTCAAAACTGACAGGTGATTTTGAAGAATTTCTTCCTTAGAAAGAGAAGTATGAGTATAAGTAGGATTACCACTTGTAGAATTAAATCCAAGTTCTTCTAGAATGCAATTTATATAATGAGCCTTACAAACGAAGACAAAATCTTAAATAAACGCATCTTTTTTTTTGGATGTTAGTATGACAAGAAATGTTGCAGCTGTTGCAGACAACATGCATTACCCAGGTAAGCGGGTGATGTATTTTTTCTGCAAACCCGCAACACTGATTCTCTTACTATCACACAAAAATACACATTTTATTTGTGTATATCTTTATCTGTACAAATCGTTATCTAATATAAGATACAACATATTAAACGTAGTAATATTGATATGTTTGTCATTGCACGTTTCAATGATGGAATAGCTACTGCTTAAGAAAACTGTACAGATGATATGCTTCAAAGGTGTTTACTGAATGATGAATGGTAATGGTAATAAAGGAGAAAAGATTTTCAGTAGATGTAAGTATCAAAAGAAACGAGAATTGAATCTGAAAACTATCTTATGGGAATAAGATCCTGTGGATCATTTCTCAAATACTTTTCCTGAGTGATCGAGGTTTCTATTACTCCTAATTACTGTATAGCCATAGAACTCTGAAGAGTTCAGAGGGATCCAAAAATCAGAAAGCAAGGTAACAGAAAAATAAAGTGAGGAAAACTAGTTTTACTTGAAGATGGAAATTTCTCACGGATATGAAGATACTAAAAAGTAATCAATCTCGAAAGTCCATCAAAACATTATAAATCGGAGGAGAGCAAATAAGCACCTCCAGAAATAACAGATATTGGATCAAGTACCATGGAAGAGTAAGCATCCCCGAATCTGTTTCCTTGGCATGCTTACAAATATACCCAAAATGGTAACTTTTTTGTACATGAAAACATAATATGTGCAAATATCATATATCATCCACAAAGCTCAAACTGTATATGCAGTGTAATTAGGAAAGATGCAACGTGCAGCCTTTCCTGTTTATTATTCTGATATCTATGTGCATGGAAACAAGCACGTGACTTTTTAAAATCAACAATGTATCTAACGTATTCAAAATTAATTTACGTCTAAATGCTAGTAAATTGCTAATTCACTTTATGTTTTGGTTGGATTTTCATGTTTAATGTTTTTAGTTCAGTTCATGTTGTGACCCAAATCTATGCTATCGGAAATGTGTACCTGTCGGCATCCAAGCACAAAAATCACCAAAGTATAACAAATGCAAAAGAGTGAAATAGCAGTTAATAAGACAGGTCTCTGAAAGAAACAAAGCCAAATGAAGGAAATTTGGCAAAAAGGGTGAAATAAATCGTAGGATGTAGAATCAATCATATTGAAGAGTTCGTGTCAGCTTAAAGGCTAAAAAGTAATATACTATTTAGTAGAAATCTTTCATGAGTCTGAATTATTGTAGATTTGAAGTTTCCTTAGAACAGCAGCAAAAAAAGCAAACAGCTCATGCAAATTAGATAACAACAATCAACCAATGAAGGGTAAAGCAAGAATGATAAATACCCTTCTGATAATGCAACTGATTAGAAAAGAAATGACATATCAAAGAATGATGTAACAGATTTTTGTTTCAATGGATATTTGAAATGAGGAAAATAGAAAACGTTGCTTACATATCTGTTACATGATCAATATGTATTATTTACTATTTGAACATAAAGAAAACTGCATCTACAAATGAACAAACATCAGAAAGACCATGTGTATTCCTTTGAAACAAGGGCCTTAAAGGTCACCTGAGTACAAAGTAAAGATCCTTAGAATAAGAAAGCAAATAATTGAAGCTATGTTGCCACAATTGCAAACGAAATAGAATAATCAGAGATCATTGAAATATTATTACATTAATTAGTATTAAAGTTGTCTTCATTTGTGGTAAGCAAAACAATAGACCTAGAGCACTATTAGTTCACCCATTTCATTCTTCCTTAAACTGATCTCTCTAAGTCTTTTGAAGATTAATTAATGTACAAAGATACGGTGTTTTTGTTCCATTTTCATTTATTTATGGTGTGACTATTTTACCTGACCACTAAAACTTAGTAAATTATTTCTGTATTTAATATTATAAAAAAAATCAATTGACCTTATCGGTTTCATTATCTACAATGATAAATTTTTACAAGTGAATAACAAAAGGGAATAGTTTTCTTCAGTAGTAATTAATAAATGATACAGAGTTTCAAAATCTGATTAAAAACACCCTTTTTATACGGTACGAATTTGCCTCGTAGACGCCTAGGAGCAGAGAGGAAGGTTTTTAAAGGAATAGTCCATTTCCATCATAGATTCAATTTACCCTATCCTAATATCAAGCCCCCCTATTCCTTGGTCAATATATATTCAATATTTTGGAAGGGACACCCTTACTCTTTATAATAAGCACTTGATGCATCTTGTTAATGACAGTGGACACAGCAAATAAAACACATTTTAAATATATGTTTACAAAGATCTTACAGTAACAACAAAACACATGATCCACTGGTTAAGTTTTAACTTTTTGAAAAACCCTCCCTACCATCATAACAATGTAAATAATTCTTCTGTTTCGTTTCATATATGGGGTAGAGAAGAAATTAATGATATAAAAAATATTTACTTGTTTTATCTGTAAGACCCATGTACCTTGAAGGTGGAGAAAGAGATTTTCAAAGAATTAAGGAAATTAAGGAATATAATCAAAAGAGCCCCCCCCCCCCTGAAACCCCCACCATGGGGTCACAATTCAAAATTCACAAGTTTTAAAAAAGGGCGTTATTTCTTATAATCACTATAAACTTGATTTTCCTGCAATATACTGTATACAGGTAAATTTTCGCCCCCGTTTTATTTTCGCCCATTTTGCGCTCTTCTTTTTCGGTCAAATTTAAAACGGGGCGAATTTAAAACTGGACAAAATCGTTTGCAAGTGCAGATAGGCGAAAAAAACACGGGGCGAAAAAAACTGTATTCAGTACCTTAGTGCTGGGAAAACAATTAAAAGACATAAAGCACTTTCTGTACTTAATTAGTAAAGCTTCCATCCTACAGAACCCCTCACCTGGGACCACAAACTTCATAATAGGAAGAACCATCTTTGATCATCATAACCAAGTACTTCGTTCATTTGCATTACATAGAGGGGAGAGAGATTTTTATTTATTTATGCATTTTCACCATACGGTTAAACAGCCCCATCTTAACACTAGGGCCTTCGACCCTGGGCCGGCCAAGTTCATAATTTTGGTAAAGATATCATTGCTCATCAACACAATTCACTTTGTTAATCTACAAAATACCTAGGAGAAGAGAAGGAAATTTTCGAAGAAATAATGTTTTTCCACCTGCAGATCTTCTCTCCAAGGAACAAAAAAATTGCATAGTTTTGGAAGAGGCACCTTTGATCACCCTAGCTATGTACCTTGTTTACCAGCATTGCATAGAGTGGCATAGGAAACTCTTGTTATTTTTTTCAACTTTATGCACTTTCACTTTTAGATTACAGCGCCACCCTTAAACCGAACCGTAGACACAGAGGGCAAGATATTCAAAATTTTGGAAGAGACACCCTTGCTCATGATTAAAAAGTACCTTGTTTATCTGCTAAATATCTAGGAAAAGAGAAGACGGTTCAAAGAGAAAGAGTTAATGCACTTTCACTATATGATCTATAAGGCCTCAATCCCCCCTGCAGAAGTCAGTCGTGCTGAGTGGGGCCACACGTTTCACTTTTAAAATATTTTTTGGAAAAAGCACCAGTGCCCTTGATCATTATTACTATGCACTACTCATCACAAAAAGACCCATCACTGCTCAACAGCCCTGAGTGCCGAGTATAGGACAAATTTTTTAGCTCTCCACCAACTAGTGGTGGCGTCTACAAATGAGTGAAAAATTCTCAAGAGGGACGTTAAACAATTCACAATCAATCAATCATTGTTTATATAAAACAAATCGATTTCTATAGGGGGACTCAATATGATAATAATCAAATCAAAACTTAGAACAATGTGAAGAAAAACTGGAAGTCTGGAAAAATTAGTTCATATTTTAAGATAAGGATTTTGTAGGGCAAAATCATCTGAACGTTCTACGTGAATATCATTAGAAAGAAGGCATTGAGATTTTTACGAACTGAATTATTAATGTAGAGGGGGATAAATATGTAGCGCCTTCCAAATTTCCTTCTTCAGACAGGTATCAAAAAGAAATCTACGAGGATACAGTACTTCAACACATTTTTGTCTTCAATTAGATACAGACCTACTGTAACAGGGTAAGTATTTCGCTTCCTTCTTCTACAGCATCCTATGCCACTTTGTTCAGTAAAACCCTGGTAAATACCACAGTCTTCTCCGGAAAAAATTCCGATGGAAATTGCTCGGTCACCAATCCTATATTTATTTGAAATGTCGTTTTTATCCTTTTTCCATTTGAGGTGAAAGTTTGAGTCTAGATTAGTTTTTAATCCCTCTAGTAAGATGTAATTTCTTCTTTGCAGGATATCTATTGAAGAGAAAATATTAACCTAAAAACATATAAATGTTAAAAAAAAAATTAGAAATTAGATGAAATTTTATTTTATAGCTGTTTATTAAAATTATGCTTAGTTTGAGCTTGAATACTATTCTTTATATATTTCATGTAAACTTACACTAAAACTTAAATTATTAACTAAATCTAACTAAAAAGCTTGATTCACTTAGTGCACAAAATAATGGCTATTAATAATGTAGTAGAGATATAGTGCTTTCATTTCCTTTTAAAAAATTTCTTCAGTAAGTACAGGTATTTGAAAACAGGCTTTATGAAATTGCAATGTTCGTAAATTTAAAGAAAAACAGGTACATTTGAGCGCATTCAGACAAAAAAAAAACTATGAGCGCAAATTGATACAAAAAATAAAAAAACATTCTGTAATCCTCAGAAACAAATCTATCAATTGATAATTACACATTTTAGATCACAATATTTCTTAACTTAGTGTGACGTGTAAAGGATAGACCTGCTTATTGTTTACCTAGTACAAATTTCCTCCACGTTCTAAGGGATATGTAATGTAAACACATCATTACGTGGTCTACAAATACGATTACTATAGTATATAGTACTGAATGTGCTTACATTTGATAATGAGGATGAATAATAAATCCAGTCATTGATAATTAGGGCAAAACCTTATAATTACACTCTGCTTTTCATACTAAGCGTTAAAAGCTATCAAGTACAAGTTAAGTACATCCGACGCTTTCCAGCTATTTGAAGTTATGGCGCTAATTTGTCTTGCATTCGACGTCATAAATGATGTAAATGCATTATATAGGAGCTCCCAGGGCTCTAATTTAACTAACGGACACCTGCGGTCTTACTCACGGAAAGGTCCTCCAGACGGTCTAATCCCGAATTAAGACGTCTGCAGTCTCCCCATCAGAAAGGTTCTGTTTGAGACGGAGAGACGAAACAAATCGACATGATGGGTAATTACTAACCTGAACCAGTATAAAATATTGTAAGCAACGTTTGATTGCTTTATTTATTCATTTTACGAGTTTACTTACACACAAGTAGTGATCTGAACTCACCGTTAATGTTAACTGTTGAATAGTATTTACTAATGCACAAAAAGTAATCTGAGCTTGATATTTATAACTAATGACATTACTAACAAATGCATGGTGCATTGTATTAAGTTTTGTTGATATATAAGCATAACTTTTAGTCCCTATACAATAATTTCTTTGCTATAACCTTTGAATCTTAACAAATGCTAGACGCATTGCATTGATAAATTAGCATACACTGTAACTTTTTGTCCCTATACAATTAGTTGCTTGCTATAAACTGACATTTCATAGTTTTACCCACTAAGTGTAGAAATCACTAGTTCAAACTTGATTGAAGACCTAAAGTTATAAGGTCTATTCACTTCTACTAAAGGGTTGCTTAAGGGAGGTTTTTAAATTAACATTTGTTGGAAAGGGTGGTTGGTCTATACATGTACAAATGTGTATATAAAATGTTAAAAACAAATTATATCCTCTTGTCTTTCGTTCAACATTCAGATTATTAATAAGGAGCCCAACAAGTTACGCCGAGAAACATAGATAGCCATAAGTCGTAACAAAGTATTGATTGATCGTACCTAACATCCTAACATACAAAATTTACGTTAATTTGTCGGTGCATATTTTATCTATATAATAAAGCGTAGTTGTATATATGTTGTAAATAACTTGTAAAATAATTAAATTGTAAAGGGCGTAATGTGTGCGCTATTGATACCAGTTTACCAGTTTATTAACATCTCTTTCGTTGTTATTTTAACAACATAGAGATCATACATATTATTATAACATACATGTATATACATACATGCGTGAGCATTACATATAACATATATACAAAGTGTGCTTATTAATATAATCAAATATTTTCATATAATAATTTACAATAATGTTAACCTGGAGGTCTGACTTTCTCGTTTACAATTTTAATAAATAAACAAAGTTTACTTAATAGCCCAAAATTTTTCGAAGAAAACAATTCACTAAACTTCATAACATTTGGTCTTGATAAATAATATTTCGGAATATACAATTTTCTTTCATCTTTTAACTTTTCACATGATAATACTGTATATAGTGGAATTCGTCCCCAAGATCATTTTTACATAAAAGACATATTCTATTAATTCTTTCAGTACCTTCCCACCTTCCTGTTTTAATTGGTAATTTATGGTTTGCTGTTCTAAATCTAGCTAAAATTTGTTTCTTATAGTTATAATTACTTAAGCCGCTATCTACATAAAATTGGCATCCAAAGTGTAAATTAGTAAATAGATTATATGTCGCACCTTTTGAAGAATCATTTCAGGTTGAATTCCAATTTTGTTGAAACTGATCTAGTAATTTTTGTTTCAAACTTTTAATAAGCCAAGTTCTATTAAATAATTGATTCTGATTCCAAATATTACTATATCCACAATTGTCTAAAATTGAATTCAAATTCTTTTACCATTTAGATTCATGTCCATTATCAAATTTTGCACGAAGTAATTTATACATTAAAAAAACAATATTTTGATTGTTTTCCATGTAGAATTTTTGACCAGTATGCAATAATTCTAGTTTTAATATGTATAATTAAAGGTACTCTACCTAATTCACCATATATCATAAAATTTGGAGTACTTGGTTTTAAATGAAAAAGCATTTTACAGAATTTTAAATGTACTCTTTCTATCATTTCAACATTACCATAACCCCATACTTCACAACCACACAATAAAATTGGAACTACAATCTTGTTAAACAAATACGATTGGTCATATAGAGAAAGATGTAATTGGTTACCCTTTTTCAAAATACCATACATAGCTTTCGTTGCTCTTTCAGTAGCATATTGTTTCGTCTTAATAAATGAGCCTGTTGTTGAAAATATGATTCCTAGATATTCAAAATGTTTAACAATTTCAATTTCATTGTTATTGTAATGAAAAACTTTATGTGGTATACGTCCCTTTAAAAAAAATTCACGATTTTTGTTTTTTCAATATTAACTTCTAGCTTCCATTTTTCACAATACAATAAAAAAGCTGTTCAAATGATTCTGTAAATCTTCAGGTGATTCTGATAGTAAAACTGTATCATCTGCGTACAAAATAATCAGCATTTTTAGCAAAACACCAAGTTCTTTTTCAATCTCATTTGATATTGTTGAGACACCAATATTGTTATGTGCAATTAAAAAGGATTCTACATCATTCAGAAATAAAGCAAATAAAAAGGGCGATAAGTTTTCCCCTTGCCGTACCCCTATTTTGCATGAAAAGTATTCAGTTACCATATCACTAACAGCTATTATGGATTTACTTTCAGAGTACATTTTCACTATAACTTCAAAACATTTTCCGGTAATATTATTTTGAATTAGTTTTTGCCATAATCCTATTCTCCATACATTGTCAAAAGCAGCCTTAAAATCTATAAATGCACAATATAGTTTGTTTTACAGTAAAAAGGATAATTCGATTAACGATTGTAAAGTGAAAATATTATCTATTGTAGAATAATTTGGTCTGAAACCGCCTTGATTTTCATTAAGTATATTATATTGCTCAGCATAATTATTTAATCGTTTAGCTAGGATAGATGTGAATAATTTACCCATGCAACTTAATAAAGTTAAAGGTCTATAGTTTTCAGGGGCATTGTCGTTCCCCTTATTTTTATAAATAGGCAATATATCACCAACAATCCAAGCTTCAGGCAAAATTGCTGTGTTAAAAACAATATTAAATAACATGACATATACAGGTAACATAATACTAGCAGAGGATTTTATGTATTCATTATAAATTTCATCACTTCCAGCACTTTTGTTATTTTTAATATTTTCAATTGCATGTTTTCTCTCATACTCAGTTATCACTGAGTCTAGTTCATCATTATTATGTGTATTTCTAACCTCATTTAATAGAAGTTCGTCATTATTTACATCACCATTATTTGTGTTTTTAAAGTAATTGTAAAATTCATCAATATTGATATCACATTTATTCGGCCTTTTATTAATTATTTTCCAATAACTTTTTGGATCCTTACTTCTCAGTTTTCAATTTTTTTTCATAATTAAGTTTCTATGTTTTTTCATACTTTTATCCATGGTATTTTTATATTTACGTTCATTGACACGTACTTCTTCTTTTAAGATGCTTGAACGATATTTCCTAAACATTCGTTTTGATTTCCTATATTTTTTTGTGCTATTTTGCATTCTTTATCAAACCATTCCTTTCTTTTCTGTGGTAGTTTATTGTGAGTTTGGTGAGCATTAAATATTCCAAAAGTTGTGCGTGCCGAGTTAAGCAGCAGATCTGCAGTGTCTGAAAAGATTTCATTAACCAGGTTTTTATTTAAATCATTAATATCAATATTGCTCAAGCTATTTTTAATGTTCTTAAGACATTTAAATCAATATTTTGACAAAATTCTTCTGTTTTTTCATTATCCCATGGTTTTATTTTCTGACATGAAAAATTATTTTTATTTTCCTTTCTTTCTTCTTTAGTTTGGCAGATATCATTTGAGGTATATGAGTTAGCACTTATTTCATAAAGTAGTGGCATATGGATATCAGAATATAACCTATTGAATTCTAGTACAGAAAAATTTTGCACGTGCTTCAAAAATTCAACACTACATATGCAATAATCGACCACACTTGATTTTGTTGTAGTTAATTTACCCTCTTCTAATCTTCCATTCAATAAATACATTTTTTTATTTTTACAAAAAATTAATAAATTGTTTCCAAAATTATTCTTTGTTTTATCTAATGATTTTGAGACAGTCTAAACTGGGATCATCTAACTCAAATTCTTGATTTGATATGTCATCTGGTTCAATAAAATCATCTCTATCAGAAGTCCTTGCATTAAAATCTCCAATTAGGCATATATGACTAAATTCACTCTGTAAATTCAAAAATTTAAGTTCAATTTCAAAAGCTTCCATTGAACTATATATAGAACTTTCTGGTGGTAAGTAAACAATACCTAAAATCAAGTCTTTATCTGAATTAATTAAAGAAGATTTTATCTTAACCAGTGAACAAATTTACAATCTGTGTGAACGATAGTTACATAATCTTTGATAGATTTTTTGTATCCAATTACAATATCACCAGAACGTCTGTGTGAAAATCCGTGCCTATTTTTAGCATCAAAGAAAAAATAAATGTGATCAATCGGTGTAGTATCATCAGTTTTTGTCTCTGTAAAACACAATATATCAAAGGAAGAGATAAATGTTGAAAATTCTGGATAATTTATGCGTCTACTTAAACCACAAACGTTTAATCCTAGGATTTTAAGTTTGCGATCGATTTCAGTGGATGAATCGAGAGAGTCGGTTGGATCACTGTCCACTAAATTGTCACGTGGTAGATTTCCTCCTAGGTTATCCTACCTTTGACTTACTGAGCCGCGTCTGTTGAATGGTCGAAATTTACGGGCTAATGGAGTTAGGCGCGGATCTACATTGCGTGGTGCTGCTGGTGCGTCGTATGGGTTTTCCTGACCAAAATCTGTCGCGACGAATCGTTCACCGTTGATACAGAGTTTATCCATAACCAATTGCGCTTTGATGCCCTGTCGTTTAGCCTCTTTATAGTGCAGGTATAATATTTTCCGATTATCGTTTATTTCCTTGGGAAATTGTTCGAATACACTGAATTCTGGGTTGCCTTGATCGCGCGGACCTCCTTCCCGATCAGTGATCACCGTGATTGTAGTTTTTCGGACCTTTTCACGATCCTTAAAATTTACAAATTTTGCCACAATTGCCCGAGATTTTGCTTAACACGATGTACTCGATGAAATGGAATTTCATCCGTTATTCTGAGTTTTTCAGATATGAACGCTTGTAATGCTTGTTCACACTGTTCTGAAGTTTTATCTTTTGGTTCATTAATTCCCACAAATATAAGGTTATCACGCATGGACCTTGCTTGTAATTCGTTTTCCTGGTCTTTTAGATCTAACATTTTATTTGTCACAATATTCATTTGTTCTCTTTGTGCCTCACTCTCTTTTTCTAAATTCTCGTGTATTTTTTTGGATCTCTTCATTTCTGCCACTATCTCTCTTGATGTTTCTTCATTCTCATCTAATTTATCACTAGTGAACTTAATGCTTTTTTCAATATCTGACATTTTTGTTTTCAATTCAAGCACGTCAGTTGTGACAATATTCATTGTTGCTTCAAATTTGCTGATTCTGGATTCAATTTGATCAAGTTTATCCAATTTTTGGCAAACTTTGTCCAATGTTTTGGCCAAATTGTCTATTTTATTACCATTTTCAATTGGCTGTAATCCACCCTGATATTGTTGTACCTGTTGTACAGGATGAACAGGTCCTACAGGTGAGAAACTGTAATTCATTACAAGCACTTGTGACATCTGTGGAATTTGGTATGTATTATTTTGATTGTTCCGCACACTCTGTATTCTCTGTTGATTGTTTAGTGGAGTTGAGAATAACGGTTGCGATATTCTTTGTGTGTCTACATTGTCGTGAGACGTACCCATAAAACTTACTTTTTTTGTTGCGCTTCACTGCTCAAATCTGGGCCTTCTTTTCTTTTCTTCCCTTTCTTAGACTTATATCCATTAGAACCACTGGATCCACCTGCAGATGTTTTAGGCCTCATAACACGCAGTTGAAGTCATGAAGATAAATCTCCCAAAGTTTGTTTTTTTTTTTACAAAAAATATCTTATATTCAGAGCTCGAAAAAGCATGACTCTCCTTCAGCTCACGCATGCGCCGCCACCAAATAACTTGTCGGATACCTCACAAAGAGTTAACTTTGGTCGGAAGAAGCCAATTACTTATATGCAAACACTTGGTATTTTTGAGATATTTTGAATATATCTATATAGAATGGCCCCAGTATAAAAACATTTCAATGTTATTTTAATTAAAGGGAAAGGTCAGGCAAATAGCAAAATGAATTGGAATGAGAGAACTTGCTGTAAAAAATATTTTTATCATTTGAAATTCATAAACTCACACTCAATTAAGTAAAAATCAGTAATTGAATGTCACAGATTGACAAACACATGCAGGCTGCCATTTTAAAATTCTTCAGTGTTAGAAGATAAATTTACTGTAGCTTATCATCGGGTTTTATCTCAGCATCCCGATCTGTTCCAAATAGTTTGCTACGTCAGCAAACCGCTTTCACAAATTCTTATCTGTGCTGAGCTGACCTCTTTTCATAACTTGATGGTCTCTAAAAAATCCATCTTGTCAAGCTTCTAATTGCACAAATAAGCAAGGACAGTGCAAGAAAAGTGTTTTTTTTGTGATCCCAAACCCTGCCATCCATATTTTGCCAGTGTAATCACAATGTTTACAACCAGAGACGTATAAGAGACACATGCATTTCTCTGCAGAGGGCATGACCTCAAACTTTCCACATAAACACAGGAATAATTACTGCATCTGTTGCATTATCATCACTAAGATTTTCAAGGTCTTAATTCTTCTGTATACTCAGGCTCATATGCATATGATATAATTCCAAAGTTATTTTCCTGCTATTTGGTAAATCTGTTTATTAGCCGGTCAGTATGGAGCGAGTTTTGTAGAAGCGGTTTGCTGACGTCACAGAGATGCTATCATGGCAGCCTCCATGCATTTGAAGGAGATGTAAACACTGGCCATATAAATGATCTTAATTTATGGCTTTAGATAACAGTATCTGATAAGATATTTGGTAGGTGCTTTAAGCATGCTGTATTCTATTTATTTCATAAAGATATGCATAGCCTGACCTTTCCCTTTAACATTCTGATATATAACGAGAAGGCCAAGATCCGTAGCGGCTACCTGGGTATAACAAAACACTGAAAGGATCCATAGAAGTATTAAGCAACATTCACTCAAATATAAAGCGATCTTGCCCAAGAATTAATTTCAAAATTCTGATAAAAATACCCAAGCTTGTTTATTGTAACATGCGAGTCGCTAACGATCTACGTAGAACCTTACTTGGTGTCTATGTCCATCGTCGCAAACCACGGCCCAAATCTAAGATCCTCTCTCATTTGGTCATGGTTTGAATATATTTCGTACAGTGTAGCAAACTTTAAAAAAAAAACATTGACCAATGCGAGTAAAGCATAGTCGGATAATGAACTTTAATGCGACCTTTCATTACCCAATCACGGTGTAAGAAATACTACTCTTGGCTACACAGACATTTTAACTGCTTGCCACTTGATAACACTTGGTACCAACACTCGCCTCTTGGGAATATAGACAACTTGTTAATACTTGTTACCTGCTCTAATTAACCACTCAGCTATACAACTTGGATATTTGCCACTTGTCAAAAACTACAAACTACAAGTCCAGAACACCATGTAGTCTTCCTGGTTCTCTTTTAACACTAGTTCACTGTTTAAAATAGAGTCTAAAAAAACTTGGCACAGGTTTTTACCAACTAATGTACTGACTCCATGACTCTAATATGCGTAACTTATTACAATTTTGAACTCTGTTTTCCACTTAGATAACAAAGAGCAGAAAAGAGGTAGATTTATTTATATTTATATATTTACATTTACATCATTGTAAAGGGTGTTAAGAAAGTTCGATCCACATTTTTATTTTTATTTTCAAAAAGAAATACGATGAGAAGATATTTATAATTTGTGATATTTCATGTTTACAGAGTCCATTCTTGCTACTGATAAGGTTTTAACTATCTTTTGTTGAATCAGTAAGGGGAGGGCAGTTATTAAAACAGTTGATGTCTGTTGAGAAAATTATGGATGATGCATATTTGAGACAAATATGTAGCACGCAGGCCAAAACATCCTTTCAAATACTATGCAAAAATTATTAAATCTGTGAAATATTTCAAAATTACAAACCTATACTTTTGAAATATCGTTATTATACCTACGCTTATCAGCTTGTCTGATGCAAGATAAGCTATGAAAAAATAAAAGTCAATTATCCTTTATTTTCACTCAAAATGACCAGCATTTCTATCATTCGAGTGCTTTAAAGATATATATATTTTTTCATATGGAAGAAAAATCTTATAATTTCCTGCTAGAAATAATTTGCTATGAATCTAAAGCACACCCTTGTGATTTTGTTAGACTTGAAAATTCATGTCTTTAGTAAAGCACTACTTTGAAAATATTTCATCCCCGAACGAACTTTCTTAACACCCCTAATTTAATTAATTTGCTTAATGCTTAAAGGCAGAGGAAAATATTTTCAAAGCATTAGATAAATGATTTTCGCTACACATATTTACATGTATAATGAACAGAACCGAACGCAAACATCAGAAACCATGACCCAGGAAATTCTCAAAATTGGAAGACCCATCCTTGCTCATAGTAAGATTCTATTATCCTCAAGATACATGTAAGGATCATAAAATCTATAATTTTTTTTTCAAATTAATGACCAATCTTCAGCTCTATCGGTAAATGTCCCTTGTTTTTCGGTTTCATTATTAGAAATAAGATTTTAAGATATTTATTGCACATCCTGTACATGTGCAAAATATGTATATAAGTACCGGTATATCAAGGCTTAGAGTAGCTCAAAATTGATAACAAAAGTAACCAACGTATGTGGATCCTAGTGCTAATATTCTTTTCCATATCATCAGCGTCATCTGCAGTCTGTTGGTTTTGCTGCAACCTTTGTCCCTGTCTCCTTATTATCCAGATGGCGCAAACTTAAATGTAAAATAAAAATAAAAATCAAATGACGGCTATTGCGGAAAACAGGGTAGAATACTTCGCTTTAAATCAAAAATGTATGTTATTCTCCTCTAGTTGTACATGAATTGTATATTGGTCTACATTTAAAGCCTTGTAAGAATTTTCTTTCAATAATCGTTCAAATTCCTATTTTGTCTGTTATATGTCTGTTATGTATCAGAGATAAGTCCTATACTAGTATACCCTATTCTAAAACTCGGAGTACATGTACATGCATATAATTTTTGCCCTATACCTTCCTATGTATCTGTATCTGTCTGTCTCTTCGTCAACAAAAATTGAAACTAGACCAAAGCAATTGATTTTTTTAAGCTATGGTATTCTTAAAAAACGTTTGTATTTCTTTTGAAAAGACCTTTCTTTGGGTACCAAGTATTCTGACCTTGACTTTGCAATCTGACCCAGTTTTACAAAATTGTACCCAACTTTAACTTTAGCAATAACTTTTGCACGCTTGGTGTTAGGTCTATGATTCTTTGCATATACAGTCCTTATCACGTTCCTTTTATACCAACAACTTTGACCATTTGACCTTGACTAAGGAGTAAGACAGACTTTTTAAATATTGTCCATGACTTTTGAACGGTTAGGACCAGAATTTTCATACTTAAGATATGTAATCCTTTTGACAAGATCCTCTTTTTGATTCCAACAATTCTGACCCTTTGAGTCTAACCTACTTTTAAAAAACTCAAACCTTGGTCATAACTTTTAAACAGGGTGTACCAAGGCTTTTCTATTTAACAAGTTTTTGCTTTTGTGAGAAGACCTTACAAACATATTTAATTTGCATCTGAGAAAGTTTAACCTTCCTTAAAAGTTACAATACAGGGGCACCAGTGTTTCACACACACATCTTGTTTTTTCATGTTTCTTTATGATCAAAAGTGATTTATTGTACACCTATGATAAGTTTCGTATGTTGTAAATATGAATTCTCGATTAACAATATGATTTCATTATAAATTCGATAACTGGTCTAGCAAGAAATAACTGATTATAGAGTTATTTGTTTATTCTAAACTTTACTATGTTTAATTTTTCGAATTCATTTAATCTTATCTCTATTTTAGTTTTTTTGAAGCCCGTGTCAGTGACCAGTATTGTATACAATGGATAAAATGAGTGGAATGAGAAAAAAATTGCTTTAATATTTGGGTACATGGGGACAAAGATGAATGTCCTTTCAATTATGAGTTATTTTGGTAAGATGTACATTGTTACCATTATAGCAATAGCGATTCAAATGCTTGAAAAGTGTAAACTTTGTTAATTGCCAAGCCTTTAAAAATCAATTATAAAATTAAACTACGCTTTTCTTTTTTTTTCAATATATAAGGCAGGTTTAATTTTTCACATGTTTATTTTAAAGCATTGGAGCCTACATTGCTTTGTTTCTACAAAATGCTGTAAAATGAGTATAATTTTATAAATATTGTATGATAAAACGCAACCAAACTCTATCATAATCATACATGCTACATGTATAGACAAAAGGAGCTTTGAAATAATGAATTCAATAGTAAAAAATGAAGTTGGATACTCTACAGGAAATAATTTGAATCAGAATTTTCATAACTATGAAAGCGCATAAACAGATAGTCTACCCTTTGCGGAACTCTCTTGCTGATGTATAACATAAACTTGGAGTTGCAGCAGAAGTCAGAGAAGAAAACCGCCATGTAAGCAGTTCTTGTGGTTACAGAGGACATGACAGCGCATGCATCAAGCGAATAAAAGTCTTGGTTTCATTAGACCCGAGTTACTGTTACGTTTTGTTCATTTACGTGCAGGTAAGAAAACAAAACACGAAATTTAAGATTATACTATTTTCACTAGCTTGCTGTAATTATCCAAAAAGGTGGTATGACTGTAAGGAAAGCCAGATTGATTTATTGTATACTGTTTAACGTCCCTCTCCAGAATATTTCACTGATGTGGAGACGTCACCATTGCCGGTGAAAGGCTGCAAATTTAGGCCTATGCTCGGCACTCAGGTCCATTGAACAGGGAGGGATCTTTATCGTGCCACACCTACTGTGACACGGGGCCTCGGTTTATACAGTCTCATCCGAAGGACCGCCCCATTTAGTCGCCTTTTACGACAAGCAAGGGGATACTGAGGACCAATTCTAACCCGGATCCCCACGGGATAGGAAAGCAAGATATTAAGAATCTTGGCATAATATGAGCAAGGTTTTCTTGTTCTCAAATGTATAGGTTATACGATGAATTAAAAAGAAAACATCAGAATCCTGATCTTAACTCGTATTGCTTGTCTATACTGTACGAAATATATATCGCGAGTAAAAGACAGGAAATGTCATTTTTTCGGATCATATCTATTTGTGTCTATTAAAAGGAAGTTATGGTACATTTTATCAGCTGTAGTTTTCCCGCGCTCTAGAGCGATAGCAAATACTATAAAAATCATCGGGGTTAGTATTCCCGATGAATCATGGAGACTGACAATTGTAGTGAACAGACGGAAATCTCTTTTTGAGGATGTGAATGAAACTTAAAAGTTATTTCTATTAATAATTTCAATTTAATTATTCATTTGGTGACTTTTGAGCAGTAAGTGCTAGGTCTTTCATTAAATGTTATCCTTCATGATCAGTTGGATATCAACAAATTTGACCATTTGACCTTAACCATGGAGTTTGACCTACATTAAAAAAATTAACCTTGGCCACAACATTTGAACAGTTATAGCTATGGCTTTTATACTTAAAATTTGTCATTCTTATGATAATACGTTCCTATAGACACAGAAACCTTGGCATTGACCAAGGAGTTTTACCTACTTTAAAAACATTAACATTGGTTATAAATTTTGAAGAAATAGAGTAAAGGTTTTCATACTTTAAAGATGTAATCCTTGTGACAAGACACAGACTTCAGTAACTTTAAAAAACTTTAACTCTCGTCATATTTTTTAACAGGTGCTCCTGGGACTTTTATTTTTTACAAGTCTATTTCTTCTGAGAAATACTTTTGGTACCAACATATTTGATTCGTGTTTGAGAAAGTTGCCATAAGTGGGCATCAGTGTTTCGCAAATACTAGTGTACTAATGAACTAATATACTTATTGAAATTGAAACGCTGAATACTTTTACAAATAATATATCTACATATTTAATGAAGCTAAAAAAGGGCAACATTCACATGCGTTCTTTGGAACACATTTTAAAATTCAGTATCTAAGTTATTACATTGCAGAACTATATGAGGGAAAAAAAACAACTGAGTACGATTTTACACTTCGCAGTAATCATTAGCAATGATTATTTTGGGTATTTATGTAAATCACACATTGTGACAGTAAAGCAGACTAACCGAACGTGCCTCTTAGTGGTCGGATACGGATTCATTTTATATTGATTAGTTTTCAACATTAAATTTACAAACGTAAAATAGTAGCGTTGCTCTGTACGGAGTACTAGATGTTTTTTGTTTTCATTTGGTTTGTTCTTTTATGACCTTTTAACCTTGTCTATGTCCTGGGGAATTTTCATTTTAAAAATATACAGTACACCATTTCTTCCTAGCTACGTAAATAACAGCACCATCACCATAGTTCATTCGTGTTTAGAAGGTCGTGAGTTCCATCTGTTGATTTGAATGTAAAAAAAAAATACTGATACCCCGCTATGACAGCTTTTACAGAAAGTTCAAGATTCTCAATTGCGAGACAAACTCCAAGGTGAAGAGATGAAAAATGTTGTTTTTCATAGGAAAGACTTGTCTCAATAATTACATCTGTGAAATATAAAAGTCCAAACAGCAATAATTAAAAAAGTTATAGCCAATATTACACTTTTAAACGTTTTGCCAAATTATAAGGTAAAGAGCTTGTCATTACAAATATACATTAAAAATATCGAAGCCCTAGCACAAACTGTTCAAAACATATTGCTGAGGCTAATTATTAAATAGAAGTTCAATACAAAGGTCTAGATCAAAAGGCCAACATTGTGTGAACACGAAGAGAAGTTTTGTTACAAGGAATACCTCTGAGAAATATGAAAGCCTACTCCTAATTGTTTAAAAGCTATGACCAATTTTATATTTTAAAGTGGGCCAAACTCAAAGGTCAAAGAAAAAAAGACAAAATAAATAAATGGAAAGGTACTGTCATAATATATACACATGTGAAGTATGAAAGTCCTAGAAACAACTGTTAAAAAGTAATGACTTGGGCTTAGGTTTATGAATTTTTTGCAAAAGCGGGTCACACCAATGACAAGGTCAAGAGGTCAAACATGTTGTTACCCATAGAAATGCATTGTTAAAATAAATATACATGTGAAATATAAAAACAATCAGAGTTCTCCATGAGCAGTTTTACTGTGTTGCTCCCGACACAGGAAAATTTTCTCTGACACAGTAACGGTTCAAATTTTATGCGTGCGACACAGTAGAAACTTTGCCGACACAGTAAGATCTGTGAAAATCAGAAAACCCAAACATATGAATTCTCTCTAATTGACACTTTAATCAAACAATTTTACTGTCTTTCAATTCTTACGGGTAGAGCACTTAATTAGGGCTTCACCTCGCATATTAAACCAATTATCTGCTAGACCCTCGCCGGAGTTTACGAATGAAGGAGCTAAAACAAATAATTTGTTTCCACACTTCTAGTAACGGTTAATTGATAGTTGCATTAAATTATATTCAATTTTTTAAAAATATTTAAATTTATATTTCTATAGAGCCACGACTCTAGATTTATGTTAGAATCATGAACAATTGATGTAAATAAATTAGTTTAAATTAATTTTCAAGGAACTCCTAAAAATAATAGAAGTTTTTTTCTGTACTTTTTGATCAAGAAAACTGATAAAAATCACGGCAATTTACTTTAAAAATGGTAAGTAGTTCGACTCTATCGACCAGAATTTCCTCTGCTTTTAGAACATGCGTTTTTGCTTTTATCAATATATACGACCATACCATTTGTGTAACGAATTAGCAATTTTTAAAAAAAAAAGTGTGTGCATGTATTCTTTTGTAATTATAATGAATAGTGATTCAGTCACGAATTGGATCGCGAAAATACCGCGAAATTTTAGTGCTTCGCGTAAACTCTGCAACACAGTAACATTTGAAATGATGGAGAACCCTGAAACAATACTTCAACCCGACAAAAGGTTACGGGCAATTTTAATGTTTTTGCAGACAAACTGACATATAGACACTCAGATAGAACTACAGGAGGAGCAACTGGCTATTGGTAAATGCAAAAATCAGTTGAGTTTTGAAAAGTTTTAATACGCTAGTAAAAGTGGTTTCAGGGGATGGGATTCTTCAAACTGAAATTTATACTTTCCATGAATACTTTTAAATGAACATGATACAAAATGTTTTTTTGTGTATAAGATGTTATTTTTTATTGATATATACTTTATATTCCTTTGTTTAACTATGATCCACATTAATTGATTTTCTATTCTCCTGACTGGACATGATTTGAACAAATTTAAATCTACATTACCATTTTCGATGCTTTTATATCGATGGTCAATAATGGCTTTCTTGTTCTTGTGAAGAATTTTCACGATTTTTTCCATGTATTCCTACTTAAAACCTTGATCACCCATTGTGGTCACACACAACCCCGCAAGTCATGATTTGAACACACTTGAATCTACACTACCCGAGGATGCTTCCATATCAATAATTTATAATTAATTGAAGTTTTTCTGTTCTCGAGAAGAAGAATTTCGAGGAAATTCTCAATGGTCTCAAGTGTTCAGTAATAACAATTAGAAGCTCGTCATGGGTAATATATGTGACGAGTAAAACATTCCACTATAAGACGTAGACCAAAGACAATCAATAAATAACATAATAATTAACGT